CCCGCTGCTCTATGGCCTCTACTGCCTTGGCAGCTACCTGGGCGTGCAGGTGCTGCTGGCCCACGCGGGCGCGCTCATCTGCCAGGGGCTGGACTACTTCAGCAGCCTGTGGGTGAGTGAGCGAGTGGCGGGCCGGGCCCCCTAGGCGGCTTGCCCCTCCGCGCACCCTGGCGTGTTGGGGCGCTACCGTGCAGTTCCGACTTGTTGGGAAAGGGCGACCAAAGGTCCTCACCTGTGCTGCAGTGAGGGTCGGCACCTCCTGCCTACCTACACCTGGAAACTTGGCTTACTATCTTCCAATTTGAGGCGGGTGCGATTTGCAACATCCCAGGGGGCAACAAGTGCCCTGGCTGAGAAGGCCTGTTGCACTTTGCGGGCAGAGGCCCCAGAGAGGGAGTGATTAGTTTTACTCCGGGTTGGAGAGGGAGGGCTGCCTTGGCCACTCTTTAGTTATGTAGATCTGGGTGCCAGAGCAGGATGGGATCCTAGAGTTCAGTTTGCTATCCTACGGATAGGAGAGGTGACTTACTACCAGGCCAGGACGAGTTAAGGACAAAGAAAAGACTGGCTAATTCAGCTTCCGCAAGTCCTAAACAAAACTTTCTTCACAGTCAGGTATTGCCTCTCAATTCAGGTCTTTAATAGAGAGTGTGTGCGAGGCCCTGGGCGCTGAGCGCCCACACTCTACTTCTGGGGAACTACTTTTGTTGTGTGGTGATCAAGGCACACATCCCTTCCTGCCTGGATTATAGCGTCCTGCTGGGTGAAGGAGGTAGATTTGTGATGCTGGGATCTTCACGAGTTTACTCTGACAAAACCAGGGAGCCTTAGAATTGGAATTTCAAAGATAACCTTTTAACACACTTTCCAGCTCGGTCTTTTGTGGGCCGGTTTATCCACATACTTACTGGGAACTATTGAAAACAAGTGGATAGTTGAGCTTAAGAATGTTAAGAATGTTGATCAGAACTACAGGGGCTGGGGGTATAGCTCAGTGGTAAAGTGTGCTTACATGTTGGAGGCTCCTGGGTTCTGTCCCCAGCCCCCCAAGGAACAACAAAAGCGCCCCCCACCAACCCATTTAAATAATTTGGTTCACTCTTGTCGAAATAAAGTTTAGTGTTACTTAACCTAATTAAGTTGTGAAATAATTCCCCTTATCTGGTTTTGAATTGCCTGAGGTAATTGGTAGGGTGGTTAATCCCAGAACTCCCGTCTTCTCATGCTTATGGATACCATCTCTCAGTTCCACTTTTCAGTTCAGATTTAAAGTTGGTCAAATATGATGTTAGGACCTTTGTGAGGAATTTAAAAAAATGCTAAGATGCAAGCTGTGTCTTCAAGGTGCATATATAGTCTTATGTGAGATTTATCTCTCTTTTTTTTGTTGTGGATTGAACCCAGGGCTTCATGCATATTAAATGTGTGTTCTACTTTGGTCCCCCCTTATGTGAGCCTATTCTAATGGAGACAATTATCTGCATATCAGACATTTATCTGATATGCAGATAAATGTTCATTACCCACCAGTTATGAGCCACAGGCTCAGAAGTCACAATTTTTTTTTTTTTAAATGCTGGGAAGTGAGCCCAGGGCCTTGAGCATGCTACTGCTCTACCACTGAGCTACACAACCCACTCTGTGGTTCATTTTTACAGAGCACAGTGCTCTTACCTTGTATCATGGTTTACTTAAGTGGAATGAATGCCTCATAGAAGGCAGGCTACTGTGTGCCCATAAGAAGAACGACATGCGTGTTATCCTCAAGAAATTAATATTGTCAAAATCAGACACATTTACAGATTCTGCTAACATTTCTGACTGTTGATACTGCCCGAGTAGCATAGTCAAACTGTAGGAAATTAGGAACAGAAAGATCTGTCATGTATGACTAGTAAGTATTTTCATCTGGAGCAAAATGAGTTTGTAGGTTAGGCGGACAGTTAGGGGAAAGAGAAGCAACTCTGCCAGTCCCTCTTCAGATGCTCAACTCAGTGGAAAGAGTTGAGGAAGTGGGTACCTGGGAAGAAGTATCTGCAGTTCAGTGTGTGTAGCTTTGAATATCTTTATACTGAAAATAAACCCTCATGTTTCCTTTTTCTTGTGTGGGTTGTAGATGGTGAGTGGCAAGGAAGGGCCAGATAGATTACTGGGGGTTGGAGGGAAAAGGCTCAAACTTAATTTTTTAATTTTTTTTTTTTTTTTTGTGGTGGTGGTTGTGGTGGCAATGAAGATTGAACCAGGGCCTTTGTATGCTAAGCATGTGCTCAGCCACTGAGCTACATAAGTCAGCTGTTGGTCCACAGTGATGGGAGCAAAGGAGAAGGGGCTTAAAAACCGGAAACTTATAAATGAGCTAGAAGTGAGTAGGGAGTGGTAAAAGCTCTACATTTGAGAATAGGGACTCTGCATTACCTGAATTTGAGAGAAGCAGGCTTAGAGTTTTGCTGAAGTAGTGCTTAGGGCTGGGTAGTTGAGTTGGGGTAAAGTATACTTGGAAAACAGAGTCCTTAGCCCTCTGTGGAAAGTGCTGATTAAGGCCTGACCTGCAGCAAAATGGCTGTGTGATCGCCAGGGGCCCTCTTTGTAATTCTCATTGTCCACAGCAGTTTTGTTTTTTGAGCCTAAGCAGGGTTGCCTGGTACAGAACAGCAGTCTTTATGCTTTCTAGACATCTTGTAAATGTGAGCCTGCTGCCGAAAAGAGGGATAGGTAAGAGAGGTAGAGAGAAAAATTACATTTGGGTAATCCACATTTTGGTGAACTGACATTTCATACATTTAATATCCAAGGGTTGAACATTTACCATGTGCCAGACACTGGATTAGGTTTTTTCATGAATGTAATTTTGTTCTCAGTCCTGTGAAATGGGAGGAAGGAATTTCATATCTGAGAAAACTAATTTGGAGGTTGATCTGTGCATGCTATCAGTTAGTGGCCTTCATTGGACCTACCAGCAAGTGAAGTCTTGCTGTCACCAAAACTCTAGTAACCTTCAGTAAGGATTTTAAAATGTTGTTCCCATTGGCTTATGTTTAAAAAAAGTTTTTAGTTTGATTTTTAAAAATGTCAATTGACTTTAGTTATCAGGAAAAATAGGATTGGACTAACCACAACTGTTCTCCCAAAGATCCCTGGATTCTAGTTACCTAGAAACCTTAGTCATTCTTTCTCTGTTGTGTCCCTTTATCTATGCAGTTTTTGCAGGTCCTCTCCAGTTTTCCTTTGTAGTGTCCTGAGTGCCTGTGCTTTTCTTTGTCACAGTTTATCTTTGTAATTCCTCTTTTTTTAAAAAAAATATTTATTTTTTAGTTGTAGTTGCACACAATACCTCTATTTGTATGTGGTCTGAGGATCCAACCCAGGGCCTTGCACATGCTAGGAGAGTGCTCTACCACTGAGCCACAACTCCAGCCCCCTTTGTAGTTCCTCTTGATGTCACTTTGGATCACTTCAACTCTTGTCTCCAGTTTCCTCCTAACCCTCCATTATGCTTATAGGTAAAAGACTAATTAATTCATTATGTTATGAGTAATTCCTTTCAATAAATAAAATAAAAATCTTAAATTAGAATATTGTCCTGACACTGATTTCATAATGCTTAAAAAAAAATTGGGCTGGGGATATACTGTATTTTATTGCATAATCCTCGCAGATTTTATGCCAAGCTTTTTGGCAAAAAGTGGGGTATGACCTTTATTTGAAGTTTTTCTTTAAAAAATTTTTGTTGGTATTATTTAAAAATAATTTATTACTAAACACTCTTTGCTGCAAATTAGGATGCATGGAATATTTATAAATATATGTGGTAAATTATGTGGTAAATATGGTAGCTCAGTGGTAGAGCACTTGTTTAGGATGTGCAAGGCCCTGGGTTCTCAACACATATTCCCCCAGCCCCCCGCCCCCCCCAGAGTTTTCGTTGCACCAAGCAGACATGTGATTCAGCTTGACCTCTCCTCATGTTGTGGAGTTGTGCATGATAAATCTGAAAAACTGATGACCTCTCTTGCTTCACATTTTTTGTTACTGTTGTTTGTTTTTGGTACTGGGATTGAATCCAGGGGCACTTAACCATTGGGTTACTTCCTCAGCCCATTTTTTTGCAAGTTGCTTTAGGACGTCATTAAATTGCTGAGGTTGGCTTTGTTCCCATCTCTCCCCCTTAGTTCAAACTTAATAGAAAATTTGAAGACTGAGCTGGACCCAGTGGCGCATGCCTATAATCCCAGCAGTTTGAGAGACAGAGACATAAGGATCACAATTTTGAGGCCAACTTCAGCAACTTTGGCTTTAAGCAGTTTAGCTAGCCCCTATCTCAAAAAGAGTGGTAGAATTCCTCTGAGTTTAATCCCCAGTCCCATTTATAGTTTTGCAATAGTAATAGATTTCTTTTCTTCATAGTTTCTGTTCCTATTGTTTTCATCTTAATTAAAAAACAACAATAACAACAAAGCAAACAACAACAACAACAACAAAAAAATCAGGAGATGGACTTGCCTTGTGATCTGAGACAGACAAGACCCTATTCTTGGCCACTCAGTCCTGGTTGTGTAAAGTGACCATGGGCTTGGCTGGTATCTTAAGTTTCTGCTGTTGGGTTTGCTCCATTCTACTTCTAAACACTGCTTAAGTTTGTTCCTGGTTACCTGGTAGCAGTGAAGAAGTTTCCAGAGCTTAGTTCTTTCAGTTAAAGACCTTAATTATAAAAAATTCTTGACTCTTAAGTTTCCATATGACAAAAAGAATTCACAAATTAGAATTAAGCTATTTTAAAGGAGAATGAAATACTTGAAGCAATTGCTGATTCTGGCTCTATTAGGGCTTGGGTACCATAATTTGAGACTTGTTTTCTTCTCTCTGAAAAAGACTTAGGAAATGTTCTGCAAAAATACACTACTGAAGCAAGCCAGGTTTTTCCAGTTGATGTCCAGATGACAATAAATAGCATGAAGGCATAGTCTAAAAGGAATCTCTACTTAATGTTTTATGAACTTAATATGTTGTTTAGCCAGGATCATGTGGTTTATCATTACAAATGAAAGGAAAATGTAATTGTTGATTAGTTTACTTTACTTGCAGTGCTAAGTAAATTTTGTTAACTTTTATGCAGCTTAGGTAGTATCTGCACATTAGAAAATGACTATGGACTATGTACTTTGAAAAGGAGACATGGTTGGTATTTGAAGAAAATAAATTTGGGAACGTGTTCCCTCTTATCTCATTGCTTCATCAGTTTATGTGTAGGTGAGAATTCACACATGAACATCTCATTGCTTCATCAGTTTATGTGTAGGTGAGAATTCACACATGAACAGATTTGCTTGCAGGCTAAATATATCTAAAGTTGACTTGTTGACCTCTGGCTTCTGTGTTAGTGAAGGTTTAAGAATAAAAAACTTCATAGGGGCCTGAGACTAGGAACTATATGGAGACTGGGAAGGTTTCTCATGCTAGGCTTGGCCTGACATGTACAGAGGTACTGGGTAGACCCTAGTACTGCAAGAATAATGAAAAAGAATTGTGTATCAAATGTGAAAATATACTCATTTTCACTGTTATTTAAAGAAAATATTTAATAATTTAAAAACTTGACTCTTATAAAATGTGCTCATGATATAAAAAACGATTTAAGTAGCCTAGAAGTTTATTTGTAAATGATCCCTTTTCTTTGCCACTGTCCCCAGTATAGATGTTGCTATTGTTGGCTGATGTACAGTCTTTAAAAAAATTTTTTTTAAATGGATTTCATACATGTATTTCTGCACTTTCTTCATTTATCCTTGTATTGTAGACTTCTTCCTCTTTGGTGCCTATATAGACTTATTTCTTTTTAATACTGCTGTAGTAGATGTGCCTGCCCCCCCATGGCTTTTAGAAAGTGTTTCTGACAGATTATCTTAGTTCTGAGTTTGTATAAGAATATTCTTTTTTTTTTTAAATGAAATTTTTATTATTTTATTTTATTTTTTTAGAGAGAGTGAGAGAGGAGAGAGGGAGAGAGAGAGAGAGAATTTTTAATATTTATTATTTTTAGTTCTCGGCGGACACAACATTTTGTTGGTATGTGGTGCTGAGGATGGAACCCGGGCCGCACGCATGCCAGGCGAGCGCGCTACCGCTTGAGCCACATCCCCAGCCCTGTATAAGAATATTCTGATAAACATTTTAAATAATTGTAGAATCAGTGTTTAAAGTCTGCTGAGGGCAGACTTTCCTACCTTGTCATCCCCAAATTATGGCCAGCAATTGTTCAAATGTAGCTTATTCTATTTTCAGAGTACTATCATTTGTTAGAAAACTTTATTTTCATATTGAGCTGAAATTTGTTGCTTCCTAATTTCCATTTATTATTTCTGCTTCAGAACCCCAGAAAATTAAGTTTTAGACCTCTTCCATGTGACATTTTTCCAGCTATTTGAAGACACTATCAACCTTGATATTCTATTTTCTTTTCTAAGCTGCTTTTCTTTCCCAGCTATATGTGTATCACATATGCTATAATTTTCATTTTCTTTCTCAGCCTGATTTTATTGTTCATGCAGTTTGATAGTGCAGAATTCATCGAGACAGTCACTTTCCCTGATACTAATATGGTCCTTAATAAATAGTCAGAAGCTACGAACCATTTTAAGACTTAAAGATTGTTTTTATTGATAGATATGACCACAGTAATGTAGGAGATGGGTTCTTTTTCCTTGTAATAATGCTTAATTTATTTTTTTACTTAATTATTTTAAGTAAAATATTTTTTATTTATTTATTTTTTATACTTAATTATTTTAAGTAAAATAATTTTTATTTATTTATTTTTTACTTAACTATTTCAGTAAAGTCCTTTAATTTCCTTGTAATATTTTTTTCTTTATGTTCTGAATTATATCTTTTTTGTTTTAATTTTTTTTTTCCAGGTTCATGTCAAACTTAAATTTTTCATTCTTGGACGGAGTTCTTGGTGTTCAAAGAGTGTGTATTTCTTCCATCTTTTATAAATGCTCTATGAAATACAAGTTCTGTAGGCTACACTGGTGTACCGTGATGCTTCTTCAGCTTTAGAGAGAGAGGGTGGTTCTTCTGTTTTCAAGTCTTGCCATTTCTTTCACTAGTAATGTTTTCATGTGCACTACTTCAGCTTTATCTCAGAGGGTCACACCTCAGCTAACTGCCTAATTTCTTTTACAGTGACATCTGTTTGATGACCTTTAAAAAAAAAAAAAATCAGCACGGACTGAAATAGAATCTTTTTAGATATCTTTTTTCTCCTTTTCATTTTTTTCCCTAAACATTAATCGATGTTAAACAGAAATTCCACAAGATTTGGGTTACAATTTAAATCCATGGTTTATTTATTGAATATTTCACTTTAAGTATTTTTATACATAAAATGGGTTTTGAACTTTAATGTCTTAAGTTTAAACAATATAGTTTTTGTTTTGAATATTTAAATATTGCTACATGAAATTTCAAATGCCTGTTTATCTCAAAATAATTTATCTAAACAGGGGAGGAGGACCTAGGCATGAATCTTCTCTGCTGTGTGCAGAGCACTGTTGGGATACTGATGCTTACAAATGTTATATAATTGTTTGCTCTTTTTCATGTGTATGTATTTTACAGCTTTGTCTATATTTCATTTATTTAAGATCTGGACGTTGGTAGTTGGCTATGTGTTGACTGTTTCATTCAAGTGGAATACAAGCACTGAACGCTACTTGAGAGCAATTTCAATTCCTGTCTGGATTATATTGCTTTTTCATTTAGGTGGGTCCCTTCTTTTTGGAAAAAAAAAAGTCTGAGTTAAGTTCGGTAGAGACTGACTATGAATGAAAATGGATTCTTTTAAGTGCTGTGTTGCATTTAAAATTCTTTTTAATTTTTAGAAAATGTTATGCTTTAGTTTTTTATTAATCTTGAATGAAAATGATATTCTTTTAAAATATCTTTTAATTATTTCAGTAAAGTCCTTTAAAAGTAAATATATCTTAAAAAGTAGAACATCCATGACTATCATTCGTGGCATCTTGTTGACCGTCCTGCTTGGCATATGGATACGCATTCAAGGACTGGGAGAGGCCCCTGTATATCACGCAGTTAAAAGGACTGAAGATAAGAGGGGAGAGCTGAGCCAGTGGGGCTGGGAGGAGGTGGAGAAAGAGATATAAAATGTGAAGGCCGGTTTCTAATAGTGGAAGGCTTTCTGTCCTGTGAAAGAGTGGTTTAAGCAGATCTCTGTAGTCATGGGTAGCTTCAGAGAAAGTCCTTGTTCCCCATAGAGACTGTCAGGTGTCCCAGCTGCTCTGAGTAATGAGTTCCCTGTTGTGTGAAACCCCCCACTGTCATCTGGGGGGCTGCTAGGATGTGGTTGAGTGATTTTTTTTTTTTTTTTCAGCATGATGCATATGGTTGGGACTTTTTATTTCCAAGTCTGAGTTGATGGGAATAATAAGTTCTAATTTAAAAAACAAAATTCAGTGGTTTCTAAACAGAAAATAAATTTATTTAATTTTTTTTGGTTTTTAGACTATCATCTTCTAAATTAAGTTTTAGAGCTATTGTTATAAGCAACAACAAAAAACAAGTCAATTGAAAATGTCTCTGCTTAGAGTCAGATGCTGCACAAAGCAGCCTTCTTTCTCTAGCTTTGTTGAGTTGGAGTACTTCAGTTTATCTGTAAGATCGATGGTCTTACAGACTCCTTTTGACCTTGGGGAAGGGAGAGGAGGGAGGCATGCCAGTATGTCCATGTGGCTCTGATGGACTCAGGCAGGTGGAAGTGGTTAGAGACATTGACCTAACCCATAGCAACCTGTTAACACTTTACTACTGAGGAGCATACGTTGAAGCTTTTGCCGTGTCCTTTTGGGCCATTAGGTTCTCTCCTGAAAGAGAGGTTCACACCCCGTGGGTATTTTCAGAGAATCTAGTCAGGTTCCATGACTTCAGGGTCTGTTCCTGAGTCTGCTCATTTTGGGGTCAGGTGGGTGGTTGAGTTTGAGTTGATCTTTAGAATGGACTAGATTCCTTAGGCAGTACAAGCCCATTAAGGGCAGGCAGGCACGGCCCTGAGCGGAGCCTTTGAGAGCAGGGAATGGCGGTGTTCTGTTTATGGCCTTTAAAAAGCTTTTTTTCCCTGTGAAATAATTTTGTAGTTAGCATATATACTAAATTATTTTGTCAGTCAACAAAACTGTTTCTTTATGAACATGTACTAGGTTTTGATTTAACTAAAAATGTTAATTCTTAATGATTTTCAGCATCCCTGGCTGGCTCATGGAGAATTCCAGTGTTCCTGGTTATTGTTTTCCTGATGTCTGTGGGCACCCTGTACGAAAAACAGAATGGAAGGGAGTCTGCTGGTAAGAAATAGTGCATTCTGTGAATATTGTTCTTAGAAGAATTTTGGAGAATAACTTTTATTAAAAAAATGCTATGATGAAGTAGTTTTAAATCTACTTAAAAAAACCTGTAGTGGTTTCTAAACAGAAAATAAATTTATTTAAATTTTATTTGGTTTTTAGACTATCATCTTCTTTTTGTACACCCTTTCTCCAGTACTGGGGATTAAACCCAGGGAAGCTTTTACCACAGAGCTATATCCCCAGCCCTTTTTATTTTTTTATTTTGAGACAGGATCTTGATAAGTAGCTGAGGATGGCTTCAGATTTGTGATCCTCCTGAGACTACAGGTCTGCCAGCCACACCCAGCTCTTCTTTTTGTATTTTTTATTGAGATATAATTCGTATAATATACAATATACTGTCAACCATTTAATGACATTGAGGATATTTACAAAATTATTGGGCAACCCTTAGCTCTCCTAATTCCAAAACATTTTTGTCATCCCAAAAGGAAACCCCTACACATACATTAGGACTTCATTTCTTTTTATAGTTGGATAATATTCCATCATATGGATATACCATATATTGTTTATCCATTCATGAGTTGCTGGATGTTTGGGTTGTTTCCATCTTTTTTTCTGTTCTGAATGGTGCTGCTATGTTTGAATAGTCATTTTCAACTTTTTAATTTTTTTATTTTTTGAGGTAATGGGGGATTGAACTCAGGGACATTTGACCACTGAGTCACTCCTCAGCTCTATTTTGTATTTAGAGACTGGGTCTCACTGATTTGTTTAGCGCCTTGCTTTTGCTGAGGCTGGCTTTGAACTTGAGATCCTCCTGCTTCAGCATCCAGAACCACTGGTATTATAGGCATGCACCACTGCACCTGGCTCATTTTCAACTTTTTAAAATTCCTTTTTAAAAATTTTTAATTTTAATTTTATTTTTTTAACAAATACATAAAAATTGTGTGTATAAACTAGGTATCATGCAGTGTTTTGATACATGTATGCCCTTTTCAGTTCTTTATTAAGGTATATATGTAAGAGTGAAATTACCAGGTTATATGTAGTTCCATGTTTAACTTTTCCAAGAATTGCCAAGCTATTTTCCATAGCAGCTGCACCATTTTGTATCCCACCAGCAAACATGAGCGTTCCAGTTTCTCTATATCCTTGTTATTTTCCATTTTTTATAATGGCTAGTATAGTGGATATGAAGTGGTATCTTGTGGTGTGGATTTCTGATAGCTAATGATGGTGAGCAATTTTTCATGTGCTTGTTCTTTATTTGCTTATCTTTTTGGAGAAATGTCTATTTAGATTCTTTGCCCTTAAGGTTGTTTAACTTTTTGCGGTTGGATTTCAGGAGTTCTTTATATGGTCTGGATACTTCCTAGATATATGATATGAAAGTATTTTCTTCCATTTTGGGGTTGTTTTATCCTCTTGATAGTCTCTATTGATGTGCAGACATTTTAATTTTTGATATCTAATTTTTCCATTTTTCCTATTGTTGCCTGTGCTTTGCCCTCCAAGGTCATGAATATTTACCCCTAAGTTTTCTAATAAGAATTTTATGTTTTTATCTTATATGTAGGCCATTGATGCATTTCAAATTAATTTTTTGTTGTTGTTGGGGTTTTGGGGATTTAACCCAGAGCCTCTTGCATGCTGGGCAAATGCTCTGCAACTGAGCAATACCTTCATCCTTTTTAAAATATTTCCCAGGCTGGCTGCAAATTTGTAGTCTTCCTGCTTTAGCCTCCCAAATACCTGGTGTATCTGTACCTGTCTGTAATCCACATTTTATACTTATGTCATAACATCTTTCTCTGTCAGTGAATATGCTTCTACAGCATTGTTTTTAGCATCTTCATTTTATTTTAATCACATTTTATTTTAAACACACTGGTGTGTTTGTACAGCTTCCTTATAAAGGTGTTTTAAAAAATTAAATTGCTTTGTTTTATTTGGTAAATGAATAATGCCTGATAATTATAAGATAGCTTGTATCCATAAATGTATGTTTCAAACCCTTATCTGAAACAAAGAAACCTTAATTACATATTTTGACAGTGGAAAATAGGGAATATTTTATTTTCTATTTTGCCATTTTTTTAAGTTTTCTATTTTCAGCCTGTATTCCTGTTCAGAATCTGTTAGATTCTGTGATTATATATCAGACCAATGGAAATAAATTTCCTGTCTGGGCATCTCGTGTAGAAAGCTTGGTAGTTTTGCTTGTTCCTCAGGTTAGTTTTATCTTTCTTCCTTTCCCCTAGTTGTGGGTCATTCAGACAGCTCTACTTGCTCTTTACCTCTCACCTGGGGTGGCTTTCTCTTTTGATTGCTTTTGCCCAGGGCTGATTGAGTAGGGTCAGCTCTTTGTAGGTTCTGTACCTTTGGATTCAACCAACTGAATATCATAAATATCTGGGAAAAAAATGACATCTGTATTTAACATTAACAGATTTTTTTCTTGTTATTATTGCCAAGAAAATACAGAATAACAGCTATTTACATAGCATTTATATTCTACCAGTATTATAAGGAATTCAAAGATGATTTAATGTGTATCAGAGGATTTGTATATATATATGGAAATCATGTAAGGAATTTGAGCATCCTCACAGTTTACTTTTATGGAGGTTCTGCAACTCATCCCTTCTGATATCAAGGGACAGCTGTACCTTAATCCAAGAATATGCAGGATTAAATGCAGGATTAAAACAAGGGTTTCAGCTGTTTTTTTTTTTTTTTTTTTAATAGAGTATAAATTCTAGTCATCTGGTAATGATAGCCTAAAGAACTGTGAGAACAAGAATTCTAAAACCATGGGGAAAAAGAAGACCAGGTCAGTTATTATTGTCAGCCACAAACCTGGAATGGTGGTGTGTTGGCATGCAGGTTAGATTTATGGTATTTGTGTTCTTGACTATGACAATGAAGGAAATTACATCGTTGCAGAGTAGATGTTGAGAGCAGATTTGGAAATGTTGGTTTTTCTTGTTTTGTTTTACTCTCATTCTACCCACCCCCTTTTTAAAAATATTTTTTAGTTGTCAATGGATCTTTTATTTTATTTATTTATATGTAGTGCTGAGGATTGAACCCAGGGCTTCACACATGCCAGGCAAATGCTCTACCACTGAGCCACAACTCTAGCCTGCTTCTTGATCTGGAATTCTTTCATGGTCTTCTGGTCTTAATGCTCATCATAAAATAAATCTATAAAATATTTTTTTTTCTGAATTTCTAAATATTTTTCCTCATGCCCTTAGAACCTTGTTTCTTTATGAATCAGAACTTAAGTCTCTCTTGTCCATAGTGGGGCTGCTGTTTCCTTCCCTTGTGTGGATACAGTTAGGTACAGGATTGCTTCCTGGTCTGGCCTGGCCTTGCTCTTGTGCGCCAGTCTCCTGTGTGGATATCCTTCTTTATGTTTTCTGAGCTTTGAATCTTTTGCTGCTGTAGAAGCTTTTGTAGTCTATGGTTCACTAGATTCACAAAATTAGTTCTCTCGATTTCATTAAAATTCAAAGCATGAGTTTGTTTAGTTCCTAGATCCAGAAAATTCTTACCGTCATTGCTGAGTTAGTTTCAGTAGTTTCTCAGTGGCTTTCTCTTGGACCTGGGGAGCTTTTTCATTGTATTTCCTGGAAATCCAAGGTAAAATGTAGGGGAAAATGTTTCAGTGACTATTATGGGCTGAGAATTCTGTTTTTAAGTGTGCTCTTTGTAAATCCACCAACCAACTAACCTACCAGCCAAAACCCCCAAACCAACCAAACAAAAAATAAGCAAATAAACTTTGTAAAACTTTGTAAAATTTGTTCATGGAGACATTTAATTTCAAAGGTTAACCGATGTGCCCACAGTCACAGAGATGAAGCTAAGATTTAAAACCAGTGTTCTTGATCCTAAGCCCAGTGTTCTTTCCCTTTCCCTGGTTCTTTCAGTAAATGACAGTTTTTAGTAAAAAAAATTAACAGCTACTGATCCTTCTTGCACTAGTTGTAGTTGTCAACTCCTTCATTCTTCATGTTGGCCCTGTTGGTGTACCGTAGCCATAGGACTTAGCTTCTCTGCCTCCTGGATTCCACAAATCTCAATCAGAAACTTGGTTTCTTAGTCCATTTTGTATTGCTATAACAGAATAGCACAGGCTGGTATCCTGAACAGGAATTTATTGCTCCAAGTTCTGGAGGCTGGGAAGTCTGATACCAAGGTGCTAGCATCTGTTGAGGGTCTGCTTGTTGAGGCCCCACATGGCAACTCAATACTGTTGGTCTCTATCCTATAGTACCTCTTGATACTGTTACATGGTGTTTAAATTTCAGCATGAGTTTTGGAAGGAACAAACCATAGCACCTGTGTCCTCTTGGCCTGTGAGAGAAGAGAAACTTTAACATTATTCCTATCTCACCAATGAGGTTCTGTTGCCTCTTCAAACATGCCATCTTAGCAAGTGGGTGAGATTGGTATTATAGTTATTTTACAGACGAAGAAACAGACTCAGTGAGCCATTTGCTCTGAGAGATTTCTTGGAAAGTAAGGGAAATAAGCATCAGGTGTATCTTTAGTAGCCTGGGTACCCATCCTGAGAGTACTGAACACAGCTGTCTCCTGCTCTTCCTGACATTGGTAATTGTGACCAGAAGTACCTTTTCAGGGAGGAAAGGATAGTTACCTAAATTGTTTGGGATAATATGTAATATGAATGAACAACTTTGGCCCAGGTAAGCTCAAATCAGAAAAGGAAAGGAGAGAACTAAGTTTCTTATGCTCATCTCTTGCTCCCTGATTATGATTATTACCATTTAGGCAGGTGCTGAGAAACTTCTGGTCCACATCCCGGTCCTTCTGAAGTGATGCTAGAAGTGATCTAGAGGGAGATGTATCTTTCACATTGGTAATGGAGACAGAAGCCTACTCAAGGAGACTTTGCAAGCTAGGAGGCTTTATTTGGTATGCTGTGCCTCCTCCAACAAGCATCTTTGGATATATTTCTGGCAACTGCCACTATTTTGTGAAAAAGAACAAAGTAAATCAAGAGGTATCTCCTCATTGAGATTGTTTTCAGAATATATTTTCCTATGATTATTTAACATTGAGGTACCCATTGTTGAGTTAGTCATATTAATAGATTTTAATCTGACTTTGTTTTTTCTGTCCTGATTGGTGACTGCTTATTTGAACTTGTGTAGAGGTCTCACTGCATACTGCCCTCATCCCTGTGGAGACTGACGCTTGAAACCTTGGATGCTCTTTTCTTTTTTGTTTTTAGACCTTGAGTCCCAAGAATGTGTTCCCTTGTTTATGTGCCTATTTTTAGCTGGGAATTTTTATCTAATACCACGACCTTGACTAAAATCTCAGTCCTAGCATACTTCTGTTCAGACCCTTGGGTTTTGAAGTGCTGAAGGACACCACTAGGATAGAAGTTATTAAGATACATGTGTGTTTGATAGGAGCAGTTAATGTCTTATAGCCATAGTTTTCAAATGGTCTTTGTTGATTTTTCTGTGTGCTACTTTCATGTTTTTTTAAAGTATGAGGTGTTCTAAAAATTGGCTGAACCATTCGTATGTTAATAGAATGATAATCACATAATTCTCATGGATGTAGCTAAGAGTTATTGAATGTTTATTGCATATTTTACTGACATCAACAAGTTGGAGAGTTATTCTTAAGTCACAGTTTTGAGGATTTAATTTCCTTTAGTTTTCCTCAAGTCTTTCAGTGCTATGTAAGATACTTATCACTGTGGGAGAGCTAAAAACCTCTACTAAGGGGAAGAGACTTAGGGAAATGGCTATCCTGTGATGCTAAGGGGTGAGTGGTACAGAGAAATATTGTGGAAGTGATAGGACTTGTGCTTATATTTGATGCCATCAAAGCCAACAGTTTTGGTATAGATGATGGTGATAATTAGATTTATTGGGCATTTCCTGTATACCAGGCATCATTCCAAGCGTTTTATTCAGATAGACAGACAGACAGACACACACACACACAGTTTCACTTGATTCACATGTGAAGTAGGAATTTATATGAGCCCCATTTTACACATGAGGAGACTGATGTGTAAGAACTTGACCATGGTCATCCAGGTAGTAAGGACTAGACCTGGGATTTGAACTTGGGCCATTTTGGTTCCTCACCTGTGCTCCTGCTCCAGTTGTCTCCATAAGTCAGGTTTTTTCTTTTGAAGCTTACAAAATAACCAGTCCTCAATAGCTTTGCAATTTATCAACATACACTTTTTTTGTGTGGTTAATTCACATATGTCTCTTGCATTAGGCTCCTGGAGGCTGGGTCTTTGTCTTTATCCCTCACACACATTATAACAAGTAATGAGTACATAAGCCTTTGCCCTCTTTTTAAAAAATTTGTTCTAATTAGTTATACATGATAGCCATAGTATCATCTTGGGACACCAGCCCTTGCCCTCCTAATTGTCATCTTGGAAGGAACTTGGAAGGATAGGTGAATAAGGTCCCAATCCAAATATATAACTTAAACTTTCTTCTCAGACTGTGAGTTTAATTTCTTTCCAATTGCCTGAAAGTAGACTTCTTTCCTGCCCTGCAATACGTATTGGTGGAGGGATAGGCTTGAGGTAGGTGAATGCTTTTGATCCTGATGTCTGACTATATCAGAGCCTTTTTGGGCTCTGGCTTGCTTATTTCTGGCAGATGGCCAGCCTTGAAATTGTTGGTTATGCAGAGCTAATTTGGAGCTAAAAGTCACAGCCTTCTGAAGGGTTGTGGTTCTTTTCACTTGCTTGGCAGAATTCTCTGTTGTCACACTGAATATTGGTCTATCAAAGGTAAGGTCATAGATGTATGAGTGTGGTTGTATGATTTGGTGACTAAAATGGCCTGTATTCTTCGATTGTGGACAGTAGAATCCATTCTAGATGATATAAATAGTAAGAATTGTTGGTTAGAATTTAGAAATTTCAGCATGTGCAATTTTTGGAAACTAGGCTTGGCTCCAACAAAGGCAGGAGCACTGCAACCAGGAGAGCCGCTCAGTAACACCAAAGGACAATTCATACAGAAGGCATGGCTGCTCCTGCTGGCCATTAGAAATCAGATAGCAGAACTCCTGCAACTTTTGCTGAATTGCTGCAGAAAATTATATGCCTCCATGACAATTTGATGTGAAAGCTATGTGGCTTCTCAATTACTGAGTGACACTCTGTCTTCCAAGCCTTGCATAGGTGTACTGGCTTGTTAGAAACTGCATTACACGTGAGATTTTCATTTCAAGGAGTCTAAGAAATACTTATTCTTTGCTTTCCAGCCTCTAGTGTGCAAGAAAGCACACTAATACCTCATGTTTTGTGAACTAGTCATCTGCCATAGCAGATCATTGCAGACAGACCTTGTTTGTTATAAGTATATTATTTGAGCTTAATGTAAGTGATTAGACTTGGTACTATTAGGAAGTTAACACAGGAATATATAACATGAAATGAGGTCATGATGTTTTTATAGATTTTCAGAGTGGTGGATTTTGCCTGTGCTGAATTGTGTGGTTTTTGCATAATATCCATGTATTTGCATGTTCATTTAGGAAATGTATTACTGAGAACACCAATTGTGGGGTGTCTGTGCTAGAACCTAGTAATACAAAGGGTAAGACAGTTTAAACAGAGAGCTTTTAAACTTGGTGTGGCAGTGTTTTTTTCATAGAAGTGTGTATTAAAATCAACTTGTAAAGTTAAATATAAGCTCCAAACTTCAAATTTATATATGCAGTATCTCTCACACCCACCAGCATCGTCTCTAAATGAGAAAGACTTGAGCTTTTAGCAAATTGTCTTGTGATTTTCAAGCATTCTTCCTCAGTGAAGAACATTGGTCCATTGGGTCAGAAATAACCATTTTGTTTTACTGTTTTTGAAAATTTAGGATTGTGTTTAAATTTGCAACCTTTATTTCCTGCTTTGTTCATTTGCTTCAAACACTTTAAGAACGTGTGCTTCTTTTACAGGGGCAGAGTTACCAGGGCAAGTAATCTCCATGGCAGCGTCTACTCTAGCCAACTTGGCCATCTCCATAACGGGTTATGAGTCTAGCAGTGAAGACCAGCCCTCCACTCAGCCTGCAGGTGATTGAGGTCCTGAGGCGTTCAAAGTTCTGGAAAATGAGATCTAAATAGAGGATGGAGTTAAGAAGAGTGCTGCTTGTCTTGCTGGTCCTTCATTTTTTCTCTCTAATGACCATTCTTACACCATTCAAGGCCACCTGACTTTGTCCTCATGTCACTTTTTCATACATTTCATTGTTTACCTTCTTGAGTTTCTTATCTTGGCTCTTCTATCACTCCCTTTTTAGAAATGCTTTTTTTTTCTTTTGTTCTTTGTCACTTTGATTTTTCTTTTCTTGGTGTCTTATTTACCTTTTCCACAGGCCTCTCTACCTTAGGCTGTTTCTCATCTCCCATTTCTTTATAGCTGTCACTTCTCTTGCATTGATTTATTTTGTTCTATTTCTTTGTTACTTTTTCTTTTGCTTCCTTTTCTCAGTTTACATTCTTTTTTTGCAGGGGAGGGGTATGTTTTCATTCATTTCTCTGGCATTCTTTCTTTATAAAAGTTTGGTTTGCTTGCTTTATGCTGTGTATGTTGACTGATCCCTGAACTGACCCCCCTACTTATTTTCTGTGGCCTGGCTCTTGGAGTCACAAGCTCCTGTGAGATGCTCCTGGTAGATTTACATCTGAATATGTTACTGTGCCCTCCCAGAGCTTGAGAATGTGGAAAGCCACCTTGGTCTGTGCTGAGACACCTTTCTGAGCTGGAGCCATTTGGAGTTCGGGAATATTTATAGTGAGCTGTTGGTGAGGAACTGACTTTAGACACAAGTGGAAGGAAGCAATCATACAGAGAAAAGAACCAAGAGTAGTAGGAACACTTATATATATATATTTTTACACATTGAATCATGTTCTAAAATGGAAAGAAGATGATGGGTTATGAAGTGGTTATTCCTCCAGATATCTAATATACCCACCAACATAGTGTTTCCAAACTAGAAAGATAATAAGAGAGCAAAGTCAAACAAAATCATGCTATAACTAGCTTGGCTCCTAGCCCTTACCTCAGGATAGAATGTTAGTCTTAGTGAGGTGAGCTGACTTACTGTGGTACAAAGTATCTCAGCAGTAAAGTTTATTCACAGCTAAACATTTAACATTAAAATAAGCACTGAGGAAATTATGATAGAACATTCAGCTGGATACTCTGGCTGCTTATAAAAATGATGACATAACAGGGAATTATTCATTCAACACATATTTAATGAGCACCTACCTACAGCAGGTCAGATACTTTTCTGTGTGCTAGGAATTCAGTGGAGGAAGAACAAGATAGACAAGGTCTTTGCCCTCTGGCTGACTTTGTTCTGAAGTGAGAAAATGGAAAAAGATAAGTGGAATATGATATAACCAGGTGAAGCTGTGTAAAAGACTAGGGCACCTCAGCAACTTAGTGAGACCCTGTTTCACAACAAAAATATAAGGGATGGGGAATGTAGCTCAGTGATTAAACACCCCTGGGTTCAATCTCTGGTAACAAAAGAAAACCAACAAAAAATAAAAAAAACAACAAAGACTGGGGCAAATAGGTTGATTATAGGTGTTCATTTCTGTGTTGTTTTTTTTTTAAGACTTTCCAAAATATGATTTACTTTTGTAATTAATATTTTTTTAATGGGAGGCAAGATGAGGTATATGGACTAAGATTGAGGTATATGGACTAATATTGTATTAAAATTTGTATGATTTCTGGTGTATATGGTATGTCTTGTCAAAACTAGGAAGCAGAAACAATTTATAGTAAAATGTAGCAATTGTTACATCATTAGGAAAGAAGAATGCCTTATGTGAAACAATCCTGTGTAGTTTCCTTTATTTGAAAATTTCTCAACCCACAATCTCTCTTTGTTTTATATCTCATTCAAAGAAAAGACAAATTTGAAAGTCCTGGGTTCTTTTAATAGCAATTGGTTCAATTTTAGGAGAAATGACACTAAAAGAGTCACATTATGTCAGAAGCATGTCAATACATCTAATCTAAATTTCTATTGAAAGAGGAAGAGGGCTGGTGTTGTAGCTCAGTAGTGGAGTATTTTCCTAGCATGTGTGAGGTCCTGGGATTGATCCTCAAGACTGCAAAAGCAAAAATATAAGAAAGGAAGAATTCCTATATATAGAAATTCTTATATATGTATTTGTTGCTTTATGTGATTTGAATAATTTTTGATTATTATTATACTCAGCTACATTGTCATGTATTTTCTCTAGTTTATGTAAATAATATGTGTATATTAGTTATAAAAAACATTTCATCTTCCAACAATATTTCCCAACAATTTCCTTAGATTTGACCTCTATCAGTAGTATAATTCTCCACAAGTTTTTCAGTGTGTATAAAAAGATTTGTAAACACATACAAATCTTTTTGTCTTTTTAGACATAATGATATTATATATTCTGTCAGAGTACATTTAATAATATAGGGCAGACTAACAGATTGCTCTGTTACTGTTTCTTAAAGTGGACTAATATGGTCTGTGATTTTTTTTCCCCCCTTTTCAGAAGCCACAGACAAGGAAGAACCCCCTCCAATGCTGTCTGTCTCTTCCTCACCGTCCTCCTCCTCCTCACCCTCCTCCCCTTCACCCACCCTGGGCAGACAAAGACCTGAAATCGGAACATTTCTTAGAAAGAAGAAAACTAGTGACATCTACTTTGTGTCTCTTGTTTGGGCCATCGTTGTTGTCCAGATCTGGTTGAACCTGTGGATTGTGCAGTTGTTGCCCGTGCCTATTGCAGGTCATTATCTGGTTAATTAAAATCTGCTCTTGTCTCCAAAGATATTTTTTCCCCCCTTTTTTCTTTTTTGACTTTGGATTTTAGCATTTGATAAAATTTTATTGTCACTTTAAAACAGTTGTATATTTGCATTTAAGTCATGGAACAAATGTTATTCTGGAAATTTGTTACTTTGATATTTCATTAATATTTCACCCTTAAGCAGATATATACTTAGCTTCTCATTGATTGGAAATCTGTTTTCTACTATATCCAAAAGCCTAAATTTATTTTCCTGTATGCCTTTTGGATCACTAGTTTTCACCACTTCTTATTCTCATTGTATTGGTCAGGTAATTAAATCTTAGCCATTATATTAAACGTTTATTTTGACCAAACACTGTAGAGTGCTGTCCTGAGGGAACATACAGTATAAATAGTTGAAATTTCTGTTTCTTATGTCCTCAAGAGAACTTCTGGTAGGCACTTAGAACAAGATGCAGTTAAATTAAGCAAGTCACCGAGAACATACTATGGCTCTGCTTCTTAGGGCAATTATAGAAATGCTTAGTGAAATGTGGTTTAAATTACTATTCTAGATTGTTCCATCCTTATTTGGTTCTGCCTGATGATTTTCTTGTGCTGGCAAATCATGTGTTGGGGTTGTTAGAACCCCCTTTTTATTAAGGTTTGTTACCAGGAGTTAAGTTTCTCCTGGACATATCTGAACCTTCTGGTCATCAAAGGAATTTGATATGGTCTTGGGAGGGCAGGCTGTAACTAAGGTGGTCCCTCAAATGCTTTCTACAGCCTGTCATATCATGGAGATATCATGATATCACATAGATATAGAGCTTTTCTAGGGATTTAAAAATGCTAATGAAGGAATTGTTGAACTGGTATGCAGTACAGAGCTCATGGTTCAAAATAGGAAATGGATCCTCTGGTTATAAGGTCAGGGCTAAGCACACAAATCCCTGGAGTTAGGGAAATTATAGTGGATGGGAGCAGTTATCCAGGTTTATCCTTCAAGGCAGGCCCCACAGATCTGTAACACTGCCTTCTGGGCCCTCTACCTTCTGAGTTGTCTTTATTAGGGGGCTTAACTGCTTGAAGGGCCACTGCACTGCCTAACTCCAGGGGGAGTCATTCCCATTGTGGTTTCCTGAGGTCCCCACTGAAATTGTGCAGTGCTTTCTGAGGGCTGCTTGCACTCAGCTGACTTCTTTGCTCAGCCCTGGCATCTGCTCAGATGTGCACAGCAGCATCAAATGAGGAAATGGGAACACACTTGTTACCCTGCAGTGGCATAAAATCATGATGTGTGTGAAATACCTTATATTTTTCTGGTTGCTAAATGTCAAAACATCTAAGGAAAAGAACCAAGTTCTGAAAGAACAACTGTAATAGCTAGAGAGATGAGAAAATATCAGGGGTTAGTTTTCTTTACTTAGGAAGGGGAAGAGTATGGGGACTGTTATAGTTACTGAAACCTGCATGAAAAGAATATCTTGTATTGGGGCTGGGGATGTGGCTCAAGCGGTAGTGCGCTCGCCTAGCGTGCGTGCGGCCCGGGTTCGATCCTCAGCACCACATACCAACAAAGATGTTGTGTCTGCCGAGAACTAAGAAAAAATAAATATTTAAAAAAAAAAAAGAATATCTTGTATTTATGTGAGCTGTAAAATAATCCCTGACTCCTCCGAGGATTCAGACGTCACAAAGAAGATAGTATGTGGGTGGCAGGGACTGTGTGAAAAGTTACCTGGCCAAGTTCATCTGTTTAGAACTTGAATTCTTCCACTTCTCCCTTTTTAGCATTGATCTTTATTTTAATAATAGTTTTAGTGTTTTAGAAAGGAAATTAAGGAGTCTTTTCATATTATACCTTTCTGATCTGTATTTTGTTTGCATATGTATTTTATAGTGTGGATCATCAAAAAGCTTGTTATTCACTTTGGTGTTGTGGACTTCCTGGAGAAGCGCTGCCGGGTTTGGTGGCAGGTCATGGAGCATTTCCTGAAGGAGCGACAGGAGGCTTTAGCACCGTGGCCAATCATTGGGCTTGGGAAATTCTTGTTAAAAGTTGACAGCAAGGTATCATATTTTAAGAGCTTGGTCCAGAGTTTATATGTTTCATGGTTTGAAATGTTTCATCCCACGGTATTTAGTGTTTTTTCATAACTGTTGATGATACATTTAACATCTAATTCAATGATGAAATTCTGAAATTTGGTATTATGGTTCGTAATAAGGATAGAATGGATTTATTTTAAATAAGTATTATGTGGTTTTCCTCTTAAATATGGGAGAAAAGGATTTAATGGAGTACCTACTTCAACTCTTTCACTTTTTTAGGACTAAACTGAAATCCAGAAATGTTAAGTGATCTGCCTAAAATTATATAACTAGGTAATGGCTCAGATCAGTGAGTATTTTTGGAGTAATTCCTGTTTGTCAAATATTGTGCTAATCTCAGGGAAGGTCAGGTGAATCATGGAAAACCAGATACAGTAGCTCATTTAGTGGAGATAAACAACAATTCATGAAAACCCAAGGTTTAGTGGGTTAAAGAATGTGGACTCTGCATCCAAACTCTGGTTTCAGATCCCACTTCTGCTGCTTAGTAGCCTTGTGACCTTGAACAGGTATCTTTAACTTTTTGGTGTCTTGGTTTTCATATCAATAAAATGGGTATAATAGCACCTACATCATAGAATCATTGTGAAGGTTAAGTGAGTTAATGTCAACCCTATGTCAGTGCCTGGTACTCATTAAGCTCTATGTAAGTGTTATCTAATTTACTTTATATACTAAGTACAGGATTCAGTGGTAGCACCAAGCAAGAAATGACTTCTGTTGATAAGGAAGTGGGAAAGGGAAGTTTTGCAGAAGATGTGATGGCAGGGCAAGTTTTGAAGCACAGAGCAAGTTTTGAAGTAGGAGTTCATTAGGTAGATCTGGCAATCGCATAGGGTAGAGCCAGCATGGTGGCACTTGCCTGAAATCTCAGCCATTTAGATTCAGAGACAGGAGAATTCCAAGTTCAAGGCCAGCCTTAGCACTACTTCCTGAGAATCTGTCTCAAAAACAAACAAAAAAACAAGGACAGGGGAGTAGCTCAGTGGTACAGTACTCCTGGGTTCAGCCCTCAGCACCCCTCCCCCCAAGAAAAAGATAGGTAGTAGACGCGGCAGTAAGAGCAGGTAGATGGAGCAGCGCAAAGGCAGACACTAAGCCTGCAGCATTCAGGTTGCTTTATGCATTTTATTTGTTGGATTACCAAGAGTGCTTACAGCTCTCATCATCCCAGTCCTTGTTGGTCATAGAGGAATGCTACATTCTCTTGATTTGAAGCTTCTTAAATGTGTTATGGTTTTCTCTTAGTTTTTCCTGACAATTTCCTTCTCATGCTCTCAGTGACTTTCTTTTCTTTTCATACTGTTATTGCATTCTCTAATGATGTTCCACTGTTCTTATCTTCTCTTTCTCACCTTCCCCCTATCCTCAAGCTCTGGCACTGGCTAAATAAGAAGGTAAATGAATACACAGATGTTGGTTTTTACTATTGAATTCTATAACCCGCTCCTCCCCCAGTATCTCCCTTCTCTCTCTGTGTCTCTGTCCATATGTCAAACTAAGCTTCTACTTATATAAGCTATGGAAGGTCGTGAAGCATGAATACCGTCACAGTTCAATTTGCTAAAACCTCAACAAAGACTGTTTAGGATATGGAGGGTATCTCCTTGCTCCAGTGCTTGTGAGAAAGTCTGTCTTGTGGTCTTTGATTTCCATGCCTTTCCAGCACTGTGATGGGGCTCCTCTAGTCTCCTCTGATGTATGCCAGCACATGAGGTGGCAGTTACAAAGAAAGAGCTTTGTTACTTTTTCTATAAATAACACAGGAATTCTTAAAAATGACAAGTCTGATATATTTGTATGATTCCTTGGTTAGTCATTTTATCCACATACACATAGGTGCGTGTACACACACACACACACACACACACACAAAAGAACTAGTATTTCAAAATTTGATTTTTAGCTTAAAACAGATTGTAGTCATGGCCTGTGACATCTAATTTTTTTATGTTCCCAAGGCATAGAGTTGTGTAAGACTCTAAAAAGTCTTCGGTGAATATTTTATAGCAAGTCATAAGAAAGATATGGTACTTCTTTGCAATAAGCCAAAATTAGACTTGCAAATGTAGTGGTTAGGATTTTTTTTCCTGTCAAAAGGAGGAAAAGGAAGACTTTGGCAATGCATAAATTTCAACTTTGGATTGAAAACAAGCAATGTATGAAATAGACTTCCCCAGTCGCACACATATATGTTGTATACTTGCCCATTCCTTATAAAACTAGCATGAGTAGATGAGTTTAATCCACAGCAAGTGATGTGCAGAAAGTCACGTTTTCTTATTTTGATCAAGGTAGATGATTTTGTATATTTTCCCAGTTTGTCCTGAAGAAATGAAAATTGCTCCCAAGGAAAGTGAGAAAGGAAAACTGACTTCATTAGGTTAAATTTGATCTATTGTCAGTAGACTAATGAGTTAGATAACCTTGATTCAAGAACTTGATTCTAAACTGCATAATTAGATTAGTTAAAAAGAGTCCTATTACCTCAGCCATCAGGAACTTCCCTTTTCTTGGATGATTCCATGTAGCATGTGTGAAGGATTGTTGTGGAGTTAGAGTAACTGCTTGAAATTCTGAGTGTATTCCAGGAAAGCACATAAATGAAGGCTGTTTTACTGCATTACAGCCAAGGTCAGAAAATGGCAACCTTGGGTAATTTTGATACATAAAATGTTCAAGTGGAGTGAATTAGGAAACTGATTCAATCAAGAGGACAGGGCAAGAGCATCCATCTTATGGTTGAGTGAAATGTGATCTGTTTCTCAGGGCTTATTTGTTTTATTTATTAATACTATTCACACTAAGACTCAAGTAGGAGCTGGTTAAAGAAATAAAGCAAAACATGGGCCTGGGGTTCGGAAATAGAAGAGAAACTCAGTAGTGCTTGATGAAGTCAGGTTAGAGGTTTTTTGAATGGCTTTTGGTGTAGGTATAAATTACAGACATTTATCTTATTTTAAAATTATCCCCTTCCCCTTAAAAAATAAACAACAACAACAACAAAAAGCCTCACAAGTTAAAGTAATTGGTCACAGCCTGGAAGCACTGGGGGATTATTGCTTGAGGCCCTGCAGTTTCCATGAGCCAGGCAGGGTGCTGGGTGGTCTGGTGTTCACTGCCCACAGCAGAGCATGGGACAGGGTCAGCTTCCTGGGATGGCATGTCTGGCACGTCTTTAGGAATTCTGTTCTCTGGAGCCATCTGCATTGCTTCCTGTGTCCACGTCTCTTGTTCTGTCTCTGAGATTCTGTTTATTTGTGGGTCTTGTTCTATTCACTTTATCAGGGGTGTGTTGTCCTCCCCCCCCCTGAGTTTTCTATCCTTTTGTTTTTTTCTGCTCTTATGGTCCTTAGTTATTTATGTACCAACTCCCATGCCCACATTTATTTCTTTTCTAATAACTTTTTCTATGCCTTTTTATTCTTTAATAAGTCTTTTTCTGTCTTCTCCTGTCTGTATTCTCTGTTTCACTGTCTCCCTTATCACTCCGTTCTCAGTTTAATTTTGGTTGACCATAATGTGAATTAAAAAAAAAATAGCTTATGTGTTGCATCTTAAATAATTTTATTTTAATTTTTCATGAAACAGCTAAATATCCTGTTATCCCTTGGGCATAAATTTTTATTTAGACAACCTGGATATAGGGCATGTTAGTTATACCAGGGGCATCCAAAACCTTCAACAAGTACTTTATGCTTAATTTCTGACAAAATTGGAATTGGGAAAATTCTACCATAGCTTAAAAATATGAAGTTTGATTTTGTAATCTTTGTATACATAATATGTTTCTGGATTTTCTGTTTTATATGTTACATACCCAGCTATAAATTTAGATTTCTATACTTTCTAAATAGAACTTAATTTTCATTTAAAAATACATTTTGGGATATGACTTTTCTAAAGAAAAAAAAACAGAAGCTCCTATCTTATTAGTGGATATGAATCTAGTTATAATTCTCAAATTACTATATGCTTGCTTTCTCAGCTATCTGTTAATTGAATGCTTGCCGTATGCTTGGTACTGTTAGATTTTGGAGATACAAAGAGGAGTAATGGATGAAACACTAGCCCTTTCTTCAGGAAGTTATCCGAAGAACTGGGTGTTCAGCTGGTTGCTGATTGTGCACTTTTCATTTCATTGATTTTAGAATTTACCTTCAAAATAAGACATCTGACCTTCCATATCTTAGAAACTTGTTATTTTTTTTTTAATCTCTGCATTGTCTTTGAAGCTTTGGAAGCATGCACTGAAAATTAACTCTTCTGTTTGAAGCTCTAACTGTCCAGATTACAGATTAACTTTTTATCTTTTAGTTCACCTTAGCATCGATCACTTAATGACAGTGTCCTTCACGAAATAACAGATAAGAGGACAACCAGCTTATAAGCATGGCGTAGAAAATAAATGTAGGAGACGTGGTGATTTTTTAGCAAATATTCTTTGCTCTTCTAACTTACTGTTCAGAGAGCATGTAATTCAGATTTAAATTGAGAATAACTTTCTTAGTAATGCTATAGTTCATGTTGGATGGAGGAGTATAATGTAATATCTTAGTAATTGTTATTCTCATTAAATTTTAAAATGTTAAGTGGTAGCTTTGCACGGCAGGAGTTTTTGAAATCTATGGAATTGTTATATATTCTGCAGCCAGAAATTGTTTAACATGTAGGATTATTTGTGGTTGTGAAAGATGAGGGAACTCATGGTCAACATATCAGAAGTAGCATTTAGGGGAAGAGCATAATTTTAATTATTGATGAAGGAATGACCATTACATTGATTTACATTTGATTAATTATAATGTCACAAAGCTTATGTTTTCAAAAGAATATTTACTTCAAATGGAATAACAGTCTTTTAAGAGCACTTTATTATAAAATCTTTCAAATGTAGAACGATTTAGAGAATACTTAATTTACCTAACCCCCAGTTTGATAACACTACCTAAATAATTACCAATTTGTGCATCTACCTCCCAATCCTCCTATCCACTCCCTGTAACTGCTATCTTGAATTTGCTATTTATTTTTGCTTGAATATTACATTTTTTTATTTTTACTATCTTTATAACCCTAAATAAAGGGAAAAACATTTCAAATGTTACTGCGATTTTTACTTTACTCCTATTTTATCTGTGTAATTTAGGGCATACCTGTAGTATAAGAACCATAATTTTTCTAAAGTCACCTATGTCTCCTGATTAATAGTCAACTTCATGAGATTTTTTTAGGTCAACTAATGGATTTTCATTGTTTTGTTGGAACATTTACCAGATGATAAATTATAATTTGAATTGTAGGTATACCACAGTACGAAATTCAAACACAGATATGGGGTTATTTGCCAGTTGACTGCCTTTTCTTAGCGATGACTGTAATATACTCTTCCCATAACACACAGTAGTAAGTAATAGTTTACTTTCTAAAGTTACTTACAGCTTTTATTGCTTTAATTAGTGTGCCATAGTTTGCTTTGCAATGTTGAGATTTATATTTGTGTTCATGATACTTTAATACATAAGTGCTTTTATTAAGTTGTATTTTAAAGATAATTCTCTTTTTCGTTTCTGTGCAGATGATCATCTGGTTGGAGAAGATGTTAGATAAAATAATTAGCATTTTCATCATATTTTTGCTAGTAATAGGAACCCTTCTTTTAGCTCTTCTCCTGACTGCAAAGGTAAAGCACAACAATTACTATTCCCACTAATAAATTCATAATTGTTAGAATCATGGTGTAGATGATAAGCCAGCAGAAGAGACGTGGAACATGTTACTTGACTAATAAGTATATACATAACAACTAAACCTATTTATGATGTGTATATTAATGATTTTGCAATGAATTTGCCTAGCATGTTTTCTTTTTAAATCTCTTTTATGTGCATTTTATTTTATCATCAAAATCCTCAGGAGGAAATGCAGATAAAAAAATAACATACTGAAGAACAAATGCTGTTTTTTTTTTTTTCCCCTCTTTCAGGAGGATTATGGACTATTCTCAAGATTCCTAATCTTTTCACTAGATCTGAATTCTTTCCTTCCTCACTCCCTCCTTTCTTCCTTCCCTTCCCTCCTTTCCTTTGTTGTGATGAGGCCTTGCTGTGTTGCCCAGGCTGGCCCCAAACTCCGGGGCTCAGACAGTTCTGCCTCAGTCTCTCTGCTAGCTGGGACTGCAGACACATACCACAGGACCTGGCTTCAAAATTTCTTGAGTAGCTCCTTCCTTTTTTGTCTCGTTGGTCTTTTTGCTGAAATCCCATAAGGTCTTTATTTCTTTCTTTCCAGATTGTATTTCCATTCTCCCCTTTCATCTCTTCAAAGAAATCCATTTCCCAAAGCACAGCTAAAATTTTTTTCTACAATGATATCTTTTATTTACTTCAGGTTTCCCCCCCCCCTTTTACTGTGCATTTTAATCATCTGAACTCCTAGATTTTGGTTTGTTGTTTTCAAGGGATTGTAAAGCTTACATGAAATCGTGAATATAAAAATTTTTCTTATAGTCTTGTTAGAGATATGTTTGTAAGTGTTACTAACAGGATAACCTGATAAGCAGCAGTTTTCTAAAGAATTGTTTTTCTTTTTTTTAAATTGTAGATGGACAAATACCTTTGTTTTATTTATCTATCTATCTCATGTGGTGCTGAGGTTCGAACCCAGTGTCTCATACATGCGCCACAAGCACTCTGCCACTAAGCCACAACCCCAAACCCCTACAAAAGAATTGTATCTTGTCAGGTGGTGTGTCCTCTTACAAGTCCTGTTCTCAGACATTCGAAGCCTCTTATATCCTCACATTTATCTATCATTTATTCGTAGACACTTGCTCTCTCAGGACTCCTGTTTAAGCTGTGCAGTTCCTATCTGTTCTTTGGGTGTCAATCATATATACTCACTTGAATTTACTGTACAGATTTCATAGACTTTATTTTTGTCATGTTTTACCTCAACCTGCTATTATTGCAGTCTTCCATTCTAGTTCTTGGAGAAACCTTTCATCAGTTGAGCATTTCATTGTTCTTTTCGCTCTTGCTCTTTCTTTAAATATTTTTAAAATTTTTTAGTTGTAGATGGACATAATACCTTTATTTTTTAATTTTAAGTGGTTCCGGGGATCGAACCCAATGCCTCATGCATGCTAGGCAAACGCCGTACCACTGAGCCACCACCCCGGCCCAGCTCCTGCTCTTTCATTGGGCTTCTCCTCCCTTTGCATGTGGTCTTCTTGCCTGTCCGTCTCAGTTATGCTCTTTCAACTTTTTTTTTTTTTCCATCCTGTACTTTTGCTTCCCTGAACCCCCATAATGGGTCTTACTGAATTTCTTTCTTTCTTGTTTGGGATTTATGCAAACTGAATTTTTGAGGGAGCCTTTTTTTTTTTTTTTTATATTTATCTTTATTTTTCGGCGGACACAACATTTTTGTTGGTATGTGGTGCTGAGGATCGAACCCGGGCCGCACGCATGCCAGGCGAGCGCGCTACTGCTTGAGCCACATCCCCAGCCCGAGGGAGCCTTATTCTGTCTAGTTTATTCTCCCTCTAGTAAAGATGTCATTCTACACAACACAGTGACAACATCCTCTTCAATGTCTAATAGATCTCAAATGAAACATCAAAAACTGAATTCTAGACCTTCTCTCAGGTATCTGGTCTTCCCATTTCAGTAGGTGACAACTTCATTCTTCTGCTTGCTCAGAATACTCTCAGGATCATCCTTGACTACTTTTTTTGTTTTATATCCACATGTATTTTGTTAGAAAATGCTTTTGGGCTCAATCTTACTAATATATCCTGGGATAATAGGATAAGGATGTCAGGTCTTTCTTTCCATGGAAAATAAGAATAAAAATCTTTAAAATTATTAACAACATCATATAAAGGCATTGGAAAATAACCATCTAGGAACAACTGGGGGAGGGTTAGCTAATAGCTTGGTGCTATTTGTATGCTGCCTTGTGTAGGCAGCAAAACCCCACAGTTTTTCTGTTAGTTTTTCCTGAGGGAGGTGTCCTTTGATACATGGGAATGTGTAAATTTGGGGTAGTCCTGTTTGCCATTATTTGCTCTTGTCTTTGCTAAGCCAATTGGAGGTGAGCAGCACCTCAGAGATTTGTGGGGTAATACCAGGTGTTCTAATAGACATGTAATTAGCATCCCAGAAGATGAGAAGAGAAAGAAAAAATAGAAACAAATTTTGAAAAAAAAAAATTGCTGAAAATGGTTGAAAACTTCCTATATTTGGTGAAAAATATTAACAGATCCAAGAATTTCAACAATTTCTCAGTAAAATACACAAAGATGCCCAGACACATTGCAGTGAAACTGCTCAGAGCCAAAGATAAAGAAAAAAGCTCAAAGGAAGCAAGCAAATTACATACAAGGGTGCAGCAATCCAGTTCATGACAGTTTTTACAACAGGGAACACCAAAAGACGTGGGAGCAACATCTAAAGTCATGGAGAAGGAAACCTGTCAACCAAGAATTTTATATTAAGGGAAACTTGAGTAAAGACGAAATAAAAACATTTCTAGATAAACCAAAACCGATAGAGTGTGTTGATAGTAGACCTGTGCTTTAAGGCATGCAAAAGAAATTCCTTTATACTTCAGAAATAATTTGGACCCAGGGGAAGGAATAAAGAGCACTTGGTCGGTATGTGGGTAAATATATGTCCTTAAGTTTTCCTTCTCTTTTTTTTGAAATTGTTGGTTTTTTTGGTGGGCCTTTGGTTTTTTTGGTGGGCCTTGCACATACTAAACAAATGCTTGACTACTGAGCTACATCTGTTGGCCCTTGTTTTTTTTTACTTTTGAGATGAGTTGCCTGAGCTAGCCTCAAATTTGCAGTCCTCCTTCCTTAGCCTCCTAAGTAGCTGGGATTACAGGCATGTGCCACTGTGTCCAGCTTCCCTCTCTTTTAATTTGTTTAAATAACGTGATTATTTAGAAAAATGTAATACCCTACTGTGGGCTCTATAACATATATAAATGAACTATTTATAAGTAGTATTTTTACATGTAATATAAAGAAGAGAGCTGGGAACTAGAACTATTCTGATGTGAAGTTGTAAATATTTTTGTGGATATAAGTCATTAACTTGAAGTAGATTTTGATCAGTTAAATGTGAACATTTTAGATAAATAACAACCAGTAAATAGTGTGAAGTTTAAGAAAACTAAAATGATAAGCTAAAAATATTTGCTGAACATAAAAGGCAGTAAAGGATGAACAAAGGAACAGTAGAGATAGGTCAAATAGAAAGTAGAGAGTAAAATAACTAAAAAAATCATTAAGAAATATTATTAGGGCTGGGGTTATAGCTCAGTTGATACAGCACTTGCCTAGCATGTGTTAGGCACTGGGTTTGAGTCTCAGCACCACAAATAAATAAAAGTCCATCAACAACTTATATATATATATATATATTATATAATATATAATATATAATACATATATAATATATATATACTATATACTTTATAATATATATAATATATATATATACACACACACACATATACATACACAAAAATTTATATATACACAAAACATTTTAAAAAATGAGGGTATTGTCCATCTACTGTAAAAATATTTAAAAAAGAAATATTATGAGAAAAATAAGGACTTTTTATAATATGATGTTGCAGTAAGTTATAAGTATGTATGCTCCTGATATCAGAGCTCTAAAATAAAAACATCCATAGTTAAAAGGAGAAATAGACACATCTATGATTTTAAAATTTTTAAGTTTTTTTTTTTTTTTGTACTGAGGATTGAATCCAGGAATGCTTTACGTTGAGCTACACCCCTAGTCTTTTTTCTAACTGAATTGCTGAGGGGCCCACGAAGTTGCTGAGGCTGACCTTGAACTTGGCATTTCCTGCCTCAGTCTCTGAAGTTACTAGGATTATAGTCATGCACCTCCATGCCCAGCTCAAATCTATGATTTAGTTTGGCATTAAATACTCCTAATAATAATAAGGAGATAGAAAATTAGTAAGGATATTTAGAAGTCTTCTAAAACACTGTCAACCACCTCAACTTAATTGACAAATAGAATTACATTATTACATTAATTGACAAATAGAATTACATTATAAATAATTATTATATTCTCTGAAAATAGGATTATTTTCATATTTATAAATATGAAATACTAGGATAAACAATACTTAATAAACTTGGAAATCTTAAAATTCTAGAGCATGTTCTTGGACATAGCAGAACTAAATTAGAAATCAGTCACAGAAATCTAGGAAATCCCCCAAATACTTAGAAATTGAGCAACACAAAAATAATCTGTATTGAAGATGGAATTGCAAAGGAAATTGGAGAATACTTTAAAGTAGATGTAAATGAAACTGCTGCATGTCTCAGTTCATGAGATGCATTTAAAACATTCCTTAGAGGGAAATTTATAGCATTAAGTTCTTAAATTAGGAAATAAGAAATTGGTGATCTAAGCTTTTACCTTAAGAAGGTAGCAAGGAACAGCAAATTGAATCCAAAGTAAATGAAAGGAAATGATAAAGGTCAAATGCAAATCAATGAAATTGGAAGTAGAGAACAGGAAACAACATTAAGATAACAAACAATTTCTTTGAAAAATATAAAGAAAATTGATAGCCTTTTATCCAGACTTATCAAGGGAAAAATAGATAACAATAACAAGTATCAAAGAGGAAATATCTCTGCATGTCTCATAGACGTTAAAAAGAAAATAAGGGAATATAGTGAACAAATATGGGCCACCAAATTTGATAATTTTGATTAAATGAAGAAATTCCTGTGAGGAAGAAATGGAACAGAATTGAAAAAATAGAAAAATTGAATAGTTGTATACTTAGAAATTGAATTACTGCCTGCAAATCCTTCTACAAAGAAGAGTTTTGGCCCAGATGATTTTGCTGATAAATTTTATTAAAAATTTTATCAAACATTTAATGAAGGATATTACCTGTTCTACAAAACACTTTTCACCTATCAGAGGAAAAAATACCATTTTCCAGCTCATTTTATGAGTCCATTGTTGCCCAGACACTAGTCAAAGACATTCATGGAAAGAAAACTACAGATCAATATTTCAACAGATGCAAAAATCCATAATAAACAAGAGTTTAAGTCTAGCTATATATTGAGGATGATATACTATAACCATGAGGTTCATTTCAGGAATACAAACTTGGTCTAACTCAAAACAGTCGATTAATGAAAGCTGTATCCCAAATGCAGTCCCTGCTTTCCTCTCCACCACTGCCCTGCTCAAATCTATCACCAGCCTTGATTGAGTTAGTTCAGTACCCTCCCAATAGAGCTTCCTGCTTCATTATTTACTCTGTTCTGTATGCAGCATCTAGATTTACTTTAAAAACTTTAAGTAACATGTTACTTCTAGGCGTTAAGTCCCACCAAATGAAAGTTAAACACTTCTTAAGAACTTATAAGGCCTTACTTGGTCTGGGGCTTTTTTCAGGCATTCTCTGTGGGTTGATTCTCTCCTCATTGTGTTTGAAGTTTGTCTTCCTTTTCAAGCTACAGTTGTCTTTTGGTGTTCTTCCCACTTTTGCTGGGGCCTGATAGAATTGGAAGTGGGTTGCAGTGACTGCTTCAGTGGCTGTTAGTGCAGGTGCACTCTGTTCTGCTCCACATTTTGTCATGTGATTTGTTCTAGCATTTTTTGCCACTTGGCTGAGGTCATACACATCCCTGTGGGAAACTGCCCTCGTCTTTACAAGGTTTCTTTAGTTCCTTACATGTTCTTGAACTTCACGGAGAGGGAGAGGTGAGGAGAAGAGGGTATGGTGAGGCAGCACCGTTGATCTTTTTCCTGTGATTTATCCGTTTCTTCTCTACTGTGGCTTCTGACCTCTTCAGTCAGAAAAGGATAAGGATTTGGTTTTCTTTCGGCAGATTTGTGTGCTACATGTGAATCTTAAGGGTTTGTCAGCTCTGGGTGTGGGAGTCACTTAGGAATGAGCTGTCAGGCCTCTTGTGCTCCATACAGTTCTGTTTCTTTACCTGATACTGTATTCCAAGTGGCACTGAATTGTTTCTTTCCTTGTTTTGGTGTCACAGACAAACTTTTCCTCATCTGGTGCATTTCTTTTTTATTCCCCTCATTTCCTTGGTTATCAAGCAAGGCAAAGTTAGAGGTGCAGTTTCAGTTGGCCTTTTTTTTTTTTTTTAATATTTGTTTATTTTTTAGATATAGATGGACACAACATCTTTATTTTATTTTTATGTGTGCTGAGGGTCCAACCCAGTGCCTCACACATGGTAGGCGAGCGCTCTACCTCTGAGCCACAACCCCAGCCCTCAGTTGGCTTTTTGGTATTTCCTCAGTTGCTTATTTGCTTGTACATCTCACCTAGCAGTATAATTGTTAGATAATAGAGTGTCATGTTGCATATGTAGTTACAATATGTATTCACACACGTATATATGCAAACTAAACGTTTTGTATATGTATTAAAATACATATCCTTGTATTTTAAGTAAAATACATACCTGTTTATGTGTTTTTTTCCCTCAAGTAAATTGTTGAGCTTCCTGAGGACAGGGAACTGTCATGTATTTTTTATTTCTTATAGTGTGTTTCATGGGGAATGTAAAGCAACTTTTCAGTGCATATTATAAATTAATTAAAACCAAGATGCGTAATTATATGACTCTAAAAGCATTGCTCCAGTTAGAGTAGAAAGTTAAATTTTAAATTAGTTTTATTAATTACTGAGATTCTTTTTTCTTTATCCATAATACAGGTACATCAAGAGAGTGTACACATGATTGAAGTCACAAGTAATTTGATTAATGAAACCCTAGCAAATCACCCTGAGTGGGCAAAGTAAGAATATTGTTTTGGGGGAAAAAAAAAAAGTAGTGATGGATGACCTAATTTCAACATCTGTTGGCATGAAATGATCTTTACCATTATAGCTACATTAGAAGATTAAAAGATAGGGTTTGCCAAAGCTTTGATAAATAATATATTTTTTTTTTTTGCAAGAATGGCATGTAATATGGGAAGAGGAGGGACAAGTGCTTAAAATTTTAGGACTAATGTATGATAAATGACTTTTTTTTTTTTTAAGATGGGATCTTGCTTTATTGCCCAGGCTGGCCTTGAACTCATGATCCTGCAGCCTTAGCTTCTCCAGTAGCTGAAATTATAGGCGTGCACCACTGTGCCAGCTCCATACCTTATGTTTGAATTGAGATTTATATATTTATATCATGTTTATAATTTCATCTACCTGATGTCAGTTGTTTGCATAGTGACCGAGGTAGATTGAAGAAATTACTCTCTTTTTAGAGGTGAAGGACCAGGATTATAGTTTAACAACTTGGGATAGTAATTCTCCAGTGGCAATCAGTACTTAGAACCAATGTGTCTATCCAGCTGAAAGGAACCATGCACTATATGTGTAACTCCTCAACTGTCTATGTAATTCTTGAAATAGTTTCATATTTGTAATAATTTGGGGGGAGGATAGGCAAACTTGGCCAGGATCAAATCCATCTGCCTGTTTTTATGAATTTTTTTTTTTTTTTTAAGCACAGCTCTGCCCATTCATTTACTTATTGCCTCTCACTGATTTGGGACTTTGAGCATTCAGACTTGAGTAGTTGTGGCACAGAGAGCCACATCGGCAGAGCCTAAGGTTTTTATTCTTTAGCCCTGCACAGAGAAAGTTTACTGATCTCCTACCTCAAGGAGTTCTGTATACTTGCTTAATTTGACTTGTGTAAAAAGGGTTTTAGGTCTTTGTGGGGAATGGTAGCAGAGTTATGCTGTTTACCTATTTTATACTTCATTACAAATGGCATGGCCTGCTCTGTTACCCTTTTTAGTCACTAATTAAGTCAGGTAATAATCTGATTTTAGGATTTTAAATTGAAATTTATGTTGATTTTTCTCCTTTGATTTCTTAATATAAAGCCTGCTTTGGGTATTGCTTGAACTTTCTTTAACATCACATTTGAATATTCTTAAAAGAATTCCTTTGAAAATGTATTTCTAAATGCTTACCATATTACCTAGAGTATATCCAAGTTACTTGTCCTCAGTGCTTCTCGTTAGTTTAAAATTGTGGCATATCATAGTGGGGTATTATTCAGCGTTAAATACAATTGAACTAATAGTACACGTACCAACATGCAATATGAGCATGCTGAGTGAAAGACATCAGGCAAAAAAAAAAGACTATATAGTGTATGATTTTATTTATGTAAACTTCCAGAGAAAGCAAACTCTGCAATTTGTAGTGACAGAAGGATTACACATTGGGGTAGGGTGGGCTCCAGAGTGGGTGAAAGAGGGGTGCAAGGATGTTTATTTTCTTGACTAAGATATAAGAAGCGGGGGCTGGGGTTGTGGTTCATCGGTAAAGTGCTAAAGTGCTCGCCTAGCACATGTGAGGCCCTGGGTTCGATCCTCAGCACCACTTATAAATAAATAAAATAAAGGTCTTGTGTCCAACTAAAAAATAAATATTAGAAAAAAAGATGTAAGAAGTGGAAGTGTTATCAGATTTCATTCTAGAACAGTCTTCCCATCTGCATTGTGGGATGAAAGATGTACCCCTTGAGACCAGCTGAGAATCAGAGTAAAACCTGATAAGAGGTTGTAAAGTCCTGGACTGTGGACAGGTCTAGTGGAAGTGGGCAGGAGGGATAGAGTTGTACAATCTTAAGGAGATTTGTTGGTTGTGAACTAGATATAGGAAGAAGAAATCTAGTGTGACTTGCTTCTGGCTTAAGAAATTAATATATGATGGTGGATTCAGTAAGACAGGAAATGGAAGAGAAGTTTGGTGGGGAAAATTCACTTTTTTTTAAAATTTAACCTGTTAAGTTTTAGGTATTTGCAGGAAGGATAGGTGGAGGCATCCAGGAGGCTAGGTGGGTATGCAGTGCAGGAGAGAAATCAAGGATAAAGGGAAGGAATTAGCAGTTGGTGTGAGTCCAGAATTAGAGGTCTGGGTTGCATTAAAGTGTATTAAGAAAGAATGTATGTGATGCACACAGAGGATCCTGGGTATATGCCCTCTGGATTATCTCTGGCCTTTAAGACTGAAAAGAAAACCATAGGTGGCAAAGGAGAATGAGAGAAACAGGAGGAAAGCCAAGGGCAGAGAAAATTTTAAGAAAGCAGTAGTGGATAGCAGATGTCAGATTGCTGCAGAGGGGCTGGGGCACATGCTTAGTGGTAGAGAGAGAGTCATGCTGAGTATGAACGAGGTTTGGGGTTCAGTCCTCATTATTGCCCCTCCCCCCAAAAAAGGCTTCAGAAAAAGTAAGAGTGAGATTGGATGTAGTAACTACAGTGCATTCAGTTAGCAGAGCAGAACCTGATTAGATTACTTTGTGTTAAATTATGGGGAAGAGAGAAAGTAGAGAAAGTAAGTGTGGGCTTATCTTTCCCATGTTTATCTGTGAAAGAGCAGCTGATGGTTGAAGGGAGGTGAAGAGCAAATTTAAAAAAATTAAGATGGAGGAATCTCATTTATTTGCTGAAGGGAAGAAATTATTAGGGTAGAAGGAATTGAAAATATTAGGAGAGGGGTAATTCTTGGGACATGTCTCTGAGGATGAAGCAGGGGATGAATCCACAGCACAAATTGAGGAAAGCAGATCAGAATAGATATGAATATAAACCCTTGAGTTTCGTGGATTGGAATGGGGAAAGTGGAAAATTAGGGCAGTATGCCTTTGAAGTAAGAAGTGAGATCATCTGTCCTCTATGCCCTTTATGTTCTTTTAACATAAAATATTTTGAAATGAGAAAGCAAGGAATCAACATGATCCATCTATTAGGGTTTAGGAAAGAGCCACCTGATCCAGGCAAGCCTTCTCCCAGGTGTTGTCCTCTAGGGCTAGTCTCAGTATTATAAAGGATTCCTATTCTTTGGCAGTCATTCTTCTATAAGGCAAATAAACCCAAGTTCTTTCATACTGGTTTTAAATTGTAATAGCGCCACCTCTATTGCTAGTTTGAAAGCACAGTAGTTGGAGCAGCCCTAGATCAGGTTGTTGTAGACTAGTGTTTTGTTTATTTGGTTTAACTTTTGAAGTCACATGAAGTTGCAAGACATGTATAGGGAGGTCCCCTATTCTCTTGATTCCACCCGCTCCAGTGTTGTCATTGTCCACAACTATAGGACAGTAAAAAAACCAGAAAATTTGCATTGGTGCAACATATTGTCTTTGGACTTTACTGGTTTTACATGCACTGTATGTGTGTGTGTTTATTCAGGAGTTCCTTACATCTTAAAAAGATCTTTAGTGGATAATAAATTGAAAATAATTATTTACCCTGTTAATTTTCTGAATTCTTTCTCAGTTTTTCACTTCCTTAGATCAGTGAGTCTTGATTTTTCAGTAGGTCCGGTTGGCCCCAAGCATTTTTCTTTTTCTTTTTTTTATGTGCTGGGGATGAACCCAGGGCCTTATGCATGCGAGGCAGGCACTCTACCAACTGAGCTATATCCCCAGCCCACATTTTCATTTTTCTAACAGGTTTTCAAGCAGTTTTGGTGCTGCTGGTTCATGAATTGCACTTTGAGAACTTTGTTCCAGATTTTGACTATCCCAGTGTTCCAGAACTACTACTGGTGCTGAAATAGGCAAATGACCCAGATTATATGTGAACAGAGAAACAGGGCAAAGTGGAATGAAGGATGAAAAGTGGGTCTAAATGCTAAAGAAAGATCAAAGGGAAATTTTGAGTGTAACAATTAGGCCAGTCAGGCCCAGATATCAACAATCCTTGCTTGTGATGCACATCTGTATATTAATGACTGATTGGCATTATTGCTTCCTAAAGTAACACATCATGTTTAAAGTGTTTTTGGAATGGTACACTAAAAATATCCTTTTTTTTTTTTTTTTTCATTTTTTATTTTAAATTAGTTGGCTTCCTGAGGCTCAGGTGGTCCAAAGAGCCCTGAATTCTGCAGCTAACAATGTCTATCAGTATGGGCGAGAATGGATAACCCACAAGGTAAGGAAAGAGCCTCTCTGTGGCTTCCTCTTTGCAGGGTCTCCGTTGGTAGTGACTACTTGCTTCGAGAAAGCATAGAGATTCTGTTTGGAATGTTTTCCATTTTTGAAATAAGCTTAAATCTACAGGTTGACAAGCAACAAAAAATGAAATTAAAGCTCTAGATAATCACACCAAACAGTGCTAGTAGCCTCAACAATCTAAGAGGTTACTCATTTACTTTCTTCTTGAGGTGGATCTGATTGTTATTATATTTTAGGACAGAATGATCACTAACCTTGGATGGTCAAATAGGATCAAAGGAGGAGAAAAAGGTAATAAGCCATCCTCTTATCTGCCTGTAACAGTGCTTGGCAGTTTCCGATTAGGTTCATTTAATCTTTTCAAGAAAGCTACAGGAGTCTGAATTATTTTGCTTGCTTTGCAGATGAGGAAACATACTCATCTGCAAAGCAATGAGTAGGCTGGGTAGATCCCCGTTGGTCATATAGGAAATCGGCTTCAGGCTAATGACCAGCTCCAAATCCTTGTTCTTTCTGCCATAGTGTGGTAGTGGTGTGTGCCTGGAACTGGAGAAAGTGCTTTCATATGGCACTTGAGATAAACTTTGGAGGAAGGGCAGATCAAGGAAGAGTGTATTTTAGGAAGGGTAGTTAATGTGAGCAAAGAAGCAGAGACAGGAGTGTTCTTGAGGAGATGACCTTGACTGAAGGGGAAGGAAAGACATAGTTGCCACAGTTAGAGATTAGCTTCTTCAGTATGGGTTTGGGATATTCTTTTTTTCTCTCCTACTGTTGCCCATGGGAGTAAAGTTTTAATATACTGAAGTAATTAGAATCATATGGTGACAAGTTTTTTTGCAGTGAGACTAGTGGCTGGAAAATTATATCAGTATATGATTTCTTGTTTGAAAGCAAATCTCCTCCTCCCTCCCCAGAATTATGGAAGATATATATATATATATATGTATGGTAATCTATTAACCTAAAGATGAAACAAGTCTGATTAAAAGTTGAGAGAGCCACAGGTTATAGTGCACACCTGTAATCCCAGTGGCTTGAGAGGCTGAGACAGGAGGATTATGAGTTGGAAGCCAGCCTCAGCAAGGCTCTAAGTCACTCAGTGAGACCCTGTCTCTAAATAAAATACAAAATAGGGCTGGGGATGTGGCTCAGTGGTTGAGAGTCCCTGATTTCAATCCCTGTTACCCCCCAACCCCACCAAAAAAAAAAAAAAAAAAATTGAGAGAAAGTTGTGCCTGTCCCTGATAAGTTAGTCATTACATGTTCCTTCTTTAAAAAAAAAAAAGTATACATGCATATATTTATTTATTTTATATGAGATAAGCATCCACAAATTTATCTTTTACTTATCTTAGAACTGTCATAAGAGGAAAATCCAGCCATTGCAGAAGATTTTCAGCTTTCTAGGACATGTTATTTTGCTTAAATCATGGCATTTTATTCTTTATTAATATATCTGGGAGAAATTTTTATTCTAGAATCCTTATCTTTCTGGGAAGAGTATAAAGTAGAGGGAATTTTGGGTAGCCAGAGACATGGACCTTAGATTTTAAAGAAATAGATTTCAAGTTACTTAGAGAAAAATAGATATAAAACCTTCTAAAATGAAGATGATGGGCATTTGATAACAAAAATTATAAAATATGTGTGATCTTGATTTAAAAGATTGAGGAATAATATCTAAAAACATTGAATGTTCATAAAATGGGATATATTTTAACCATATAAAGGGATGAAGTAATGATGAGTGTTACAACATAGATTATTCTTGAAAACATTATGTTAAGTGAAAGAAGCAGTCATAAAAGAATGTAAGATTTCATTTATATGAAATGTCCAGAGAAGGCAAATTTATAGAGACAGAAAATAGAGTAATGATTTCCAGGAGTGGTTGGGCTGGGGAAGAATGAGGGAGTAACTGTTAATGTGAATGGGATTTCTTTTTGGGATGATGAAAATGTTTTGAAATGATATATGATAATGGTTGCATGCTGTGAATATACTAAGAATCGTTGAATTGGGTACTTACGTGAATTATAAGTCCTATGAGTTATATATCAATAAAATTATTTTTAAAAAACTGCAGATGTAACTTTCTAAGAGCTAAAAGTCTTATCTAACTAAAAATCATATAAGAAGAATTGGGTTGTAAGAGCTAAAGTCCAGAGAGGCCTGAAATAGGGGAAAACATCATTCCCAGAAGAGTTTTTCAGGGTGTGTGACTGGTTTGCCTGTCCCCAGCTTGTGTTGTCAGCCTCATCTCCTGTGTCCCTTCATATTGTTTGGGTCATACGTGGACCTTCCAGTTGGCTTTCTTCACTCAGCATTCTTGCTTGAACTACCCTTTCTGCTTTTTATGTCTTTAATAAAAATCTGGGATAGCAAGAGAATAAATAATGTTTACTCTGTCCCTCCTTCCATGATCGGAATGAAGAAGATTCCAGTCAGCCATAAACAGGCCCCACACTGTGCTAGGTGTTAGGTGGAAATGGTAAATTACAGAGTTTCCACTCTCCCAGGGATTACACTCCAGTGAGAGGAGACCGTCATCAAGCATGCAGACAAATGAAAAAACTCAGGTGCTAATAAGTACTGCCTTATTGAGTAATGTGGTGGAGTGACTGAGCATGATGCTTTAGCTAGAACTCTAGAGAGGGTCTCTGAGAAGGTGACATTTCCATTAAGACTTAATGATGAGGAGAAGGCAGTTGGCAAAGGATTAGTAGAAGATTGGGTCAAGCTGAGGCAGCAAGGCAAGCCTAGGTCAGGACAAAGAATGTGGGGGTTTTATTTTAGTTATAAATTTTTAGGCATTATGCAAATTACATAGAAGGGGATGTGACCTGATTTAGGATGTTGGACCTTATTTTGGCTGCTTTATGGAGAAGGGGGCAAGAAAAGGAGAAGACAGAGAGGCCAGATAAAAGATTATTCTAATGGCAACTAGGTTTGTGGCTCAGTGGTAGAGCACCCGCCTAGCGCGGGTGAGGCACTGTGTTCGATCCTCAGCACCACATTAAAAAAAAATAAATAAATAAAGGCATTGTGTCCACCTACAACTAAAAAAAAAAAATAAATTAGATTTAAAAAGAAAGGTTATTCTGATAGACCATTTGAGAGATGTTAACTACTTGGACCAGGGTTGTAGAAATATAAAATGGAAGAATTGGTCAGATTTAGGATTTTCTTTCTTTCTGTTTTTTTGTTTGTGGTAAGAGGAATTTCTCATAGATTGGACACAAACCGTAAGGAAAGGAAGTTTTGGTTATTTAACTAGAAGAATAGCTCTGATGGAAAAGATGTGGAGGTGATAATAGGGTTTAGGTGACGTGGGTGGATCAGTAATTAAATTTGAGGCATAGTTAGTTTGAGTTACCTATTAAATATCTGGATAGGACTGCTGTGAAGGCAGGTGGACATACAGAGTTGGAGTTCAAGGGAATAGATGGCAGCTTAGGAGTCATCAGATGGGGCTTCTGCTGTGTCACTGGGGGTGAATGCGGAGCCCTAAGGCCTGATCTACCCAAATGTCAGGTCCAAGCTTTACTTTGTGGGGTATTCAGGCTATAGGAAAACCAATTCATTGAGAAGATTTATTCTATATGACTACAGAGTCTTGGGAAGTAGATGAAGATGAATGTTCTATGTCATGTAATATTAAAATTTTGAAGTTAGAAGACATTTGCTAAGTCAGATCACTTCAAGTGTGTTGAAGAAAGCCTTCATATATTATCTTCCAGACATTTTGATTGAAGTATTCACACATTTATTTCATGCAAAAAGAGTAGATGTTTATACCTTTTAAAGTGGATTCACAGATACATTTAAAAGATTCCTTTCCAGAGGCCCTGAGATTAATGGAACATGACATGTGGACCCTGCCCTTATAGAACTTTGACTCTGCTGGGGAAGTCAGCCATTTAATTCATGTTATGCATGATTGATTTTGGCAAAGGAGAATAAATTATTCTAAAGGAAATAAAATAACATAGAATAGATAATCTGGGTAAGTCAGAATATTATTTCTTTGAATTTTTTTTCCCCCTTTTGAGTTTTGTGCTGATTTTTTAGTTTGTTAGTAAATTGAAATTATTTTTGATTTAGAAAAAGCATTGAAACAAGAAATTATATATAATGTCCCTCTTATTGATACAGGCATAATCCACTCAGTTCCTGTGTTAGATGGTTGATGGATGGACTTTGTGTGATTTTGCCAGAAAATTATTCGTTGACTCTAATGGTCACTATGAAATTGGAATGAGGAAAATACAAAAGGTGAAAAAAGAAAAAAGAATTATTAGATGGTACCCATGAGATTGGAAGAAGTGGCCTCTATTAATTTGCAAGGGATGACATAACAAAGTGCCACAGACTGGTTGATGTAAACCATGGAAATTTATTTTCTCACAGTTCTAGAGGCTAAGTGAGATTCAAGTGTGGGCAGGGTTGGTTTTCCTGAGGCCTCTCTCCTTTGGCTTCTAGATGTCATCATCTTCCTGTTTCTTCACATCCTCTTCCCCTGTGTGTGAGACTGTGTCCCAATCTTTTCCTGTAAGGATACCAGATATATTGGATTAGGACCTATGCCAATGGCCTCATTTTAACTTCATTACCTCTTGAGAGACTCTCCCAAATACAGTCACATTCTGAAGAATTGGTGGTTAGGACTTCAGCATGTTAATTTTGGTGTGGACACAGTACAGCTTATAACATGGCCTAAGTAGAGAGGGCAGGTAGAAGAGGATCATAGGTAGACTCCCGGAGCACTTGAGGTTTTGGAGGTCAGAGAAGGAGCCCGTGGACTGAGGCATAGTCCTGAGGTAGAATGAAAGCAACCTGTGCAGCCCAGAAGCCTAGAGAAGAAGGTGTGTCAACAAAGACCTCCTCAGACTGGCAAATGCTGAGATTTCAAGCCGGATGAGTACAGAGAATTGCCCCCTGACTTTATCATTCCCATTTTAGACATGAGGATGTTTGCCTTCTCAAGTAATTTTCTGATGGCTTTTAATGCTTTCTTGCCTTTCACATATAGAGAGCATGTCATATACTACAAACGATATGTGCCTTTCATTCATTCTTCGGGGATAGCAATGTTAAGTCCATCAGACTCTGTTCTCTAGCCCAGTCTTCCTTGTGACTTGCACTATGTATTTAAATGAGCAGGACAGCGTTCTGGGTCTATAATATTCTGCTATGGTGGATATTACCAGGATTTTGGAAAGAGTGTTTTATAATATGTTTGTAAAATTATGCCATTTTGTCCATTAATGGTTGTGGTATTTAGCTGTTGTGCTGAGAGTGAGACTTCTAAAGAGATGCCCGCTTAAAATAGTGCTTTACTTTGTAAAAGGCCACTGTGTGTGCACGACCTAGATTGATGCCAACTAACAATTTTAGGGTTTTTCTGGTGAGGGAGAGCTCAGAAACTGATGGGAGAATTGGTAGGAAGTTAGTGTCTGACAGTAACGATATATACAAGACTAAAGTAACTAAAGGAAATTAGATTATGGGCACTTGTGGATTTTAATCATTTTGAGTAATTTGCTCGAGGAGGTGTTCTTTGTTCATAGGTTATATATACTGTAGTTGATATAACATTAGAGTTTTTATCCTGACTGCTGTTTAGCTTTGTTACCCTCCCCCCCCCACACACCTCCTCTTTTTCTTTTCCTGGTGGTGGTCATTGAACCCAGGGTCTTGTGCATGCTAGGCAAACACTCTCCCAGCTGATCAAAACCATTTTCTATCTCTTGGGATTGTTGTAAAGATCATCTGATGTAGGTGAAAATACATTTGTAAATTTAAGCTATATAGAGATAGATGGCTTTTATTATATTCACTAGTTTGTGTCTGGTTTATGAATAAATCAGTTCAATACAGAGGCTTATATTTACATCAGCTAAGTCTAAAAACTGGCACCAAAATCTATGAGACCAACATCAAATGGACTAAAGGTGAATTAATATACAGTGTAAACCAGAATGGAAAAATGATCACCTACTAAATTATCTGAAAGTTTTCAGTTAATCCATAGACTTCTGGGAAATTGTTATATCCATATGATGTTTGAAAGTATTAATTGATACAATCCTTTTAGAAGACTGTTTATCAATGCATAGTCAGAGCCATTGTTTTCTTTGATTCCTATTCATTTATTTACTGTTAGTGGTAAGAAAAAAACAGCTATATATAAAGATTTATTTATGACATTAAAAATTGGGAGCCACCTATATAATCTATGAGTGGGTAATGATTAGAACTTAATGGTATAATATAAAAATATTAAAAATAAAGATGATAAATGTCAAAGATGAAATGTTTATGATGCAAAAGACCACATAGATTTCTGTAAATAAGTAGAAAATTGCAGAGGAAAAGGAAAAATGCAAATAGTTATATTAAGGGAATGGAATTACAAATCAGTGTGTTTTAAAATTGTCTTTAATATTGCAATATGGTTTTAGTCTGATCAGTCATAGTTGTCTGAGGCATAGTTGTCTCAATGTACAAACTGAGGGAGGATTTGTGTTTATTGCTAAGGTCCTAAAATTTTACTTAAATTTCTGTGAAAATTCTTAATAATAGAGATATGTATCTCTATGATTATAATATGGTACATTGTATATATTATATATACAATGATACATTGTATTATGATGTGTGTGTATATATATGTAAATATTTATATAAACATATATGGTACATAGGCACTGTATAAATATACATATATTTATGATACATATGCATACATATATATGATACATATGCACTGGGGTCATAGGGTTAAGATTTTTCTCTGGGTACATGAGCCCAGAGAGGTCAATAAGCATGGCTTCATTTGTACTATTTTCTTATGTATCTCTTAGAGACCTGGGAACAGAGGAAAGAAAAAAGAAGCAAAAACATGAGAAAGGAAAGGGAATTTACTGGGAACATTGAGAAATAGAATATAAGAAAATAACACAATGAGGCTAGCCTTAACTAAATAGTCTGGAACATTTTAGTTTGGTTTGGACAAATGAAGACCCAGCCTGTATTGAGTTGTTACCTGAATTATTAAATCAGATTATATCTGTATTTTTTCCTAGCTTCATAAAATTCTAGGAGATAAGATGAATAATACAGCTGTAATTGAGAAGCAAGTACTAGAACTTTGGGACAGACTGTATCATTCTTGGTTTGTAAAGGTAAGTTATCTTAGCAAAGGATATTCATTGTAAATTGAAGTCCTTTTAATGTAATTTATACATTCATTGACTACATAGGATTGTATTCACATTGGAATTTCATTTATTGAAATTCTTAAATAGCAGGATCTTAAGCCTCAGGTCACTAAAAGTCATCTTATGTCAATGGTTTGTCTCCTGGCAGAACTTGTTAATTTGGGTTATCTGTTGTATCATTATTCTGTCCTCTACTTGTTATAGATGGCATCTTGTCCTCCAGACTAGCTCTATGCAGTGGAAATGTAATGTGAGCCATATGTTTGGGGGTTTTTTTTGGTGCTAGGCATTATACCCAGGGTCTTGTGAATGTTAAGCATGTGTTCTTCTATTGAGCTGTGTCTCCAGCCCTTGCAAGCTGCATGTGATATTTTATATTCTTTTTTTAATCCTAAGCTTTTGAAATTTAGTGGGCATTTTATACCAAATAACACATCTATTTTGGGGCTACCTACATTTTAAGCTTTTAGTAACCACATGTGGCTAGTTGTTCCTGTTTTGGACAGTGCACTTCTACCTATTTAAGAACTTTTCTCTGAGAAAGTGGAAATAGTACTAAAAGTTTAGAGACCTTTATTTTAAATCAACCTTGTGTACTGTTTATATTTATGTACTTTTACTTCAGAATTTGTGATGGAAAGTAATGCAGTTTTTCACCGAGTATAAAAATGATGGATTAGAAAGCAGCGTGTTCTGCTGAGCTGTGCTCCATACCAGGTCCAGTGGCTGTCAGGAGCTGAGCTCTGCATACTGAAGGGCAGAAGCATTGGTTCTTTCCCAGGTTGATGTAAGGAAAGGAGGAGCAGCTGTAAATTTCTTAACCTGGAGTGGAAGCTAGGGGAACTGTCTTTAAACCTGAATTTGTGACTTACTGACCTGTTTTGAATGTATTCTCTTGCCTTTGTATGAGTTGAGGGAATATGGTACTGGTTTTCTTACCTTTCACAGACTGGGAGTTAAGACTTTTAATGGCATATTAGTTTGAATATCATATATTTCATTCTGATTGCTGAAGAACCAGGTAATTATAAAGGTCATATCTATGTCCTTTGCCAACTCTGGGGCTTCTTAACAGAGTTTCCTGTGCCTCACCCTTTTAGTATAGATCTATAAATAGTATACTGTCTTTCTTTCTTTCTTTTTTTTAAACCTCTTTCACCAGGACCTGAGTCTCTGCATTGTGTAATGGATATTAATATCAGTGTTTTATTTGCAAAAACGAGAGAATGGAAGCACATGCAAAATATTAAGAACTTCACCCTGAATTTTAACCTCACTTTGTTTATTCACATTTTTTTTCAAATATAATTATGGTGGCATCCCTACCAGTGTTGTTCCCTTCCTGATAGATGAATTGCATTTTCCCTCTTATCCTTGATTCTTTGTTATAGTCACTTTGCTCCTCCTTTTATCTTGTACAAAAGACATTTTTCCTTCTTCCTTTTTGAGACTGGCTCACTGTGTTGCCCAGTTGATCTCAAGCTCCTGGGTTCAGGCTATCCTCCTGCCTCATCTTGGATGGCTGGGATATAGGCACATTATTACTGTGCTGGCTTTTGTATAGAAGGTTAATAACGGAGATGAGGAAGGAGGAATAAACAAAGGTAGAAGACCAAGAAAAAGGTGGAGGAACTAAGAAGAAAAAGGTGAAAGTGAGTGGTGTTTTAGAATTCTGTTGTATATATTGAGTGTTTCAAAAATGTATTTAGGAAAGAAGTTCTTTTTTTTTTTTTTTAAAATTTTTTTTTTTTTTTAAAAGAGAGAATGAGAGAGGAGAGAGAAAGAGAGAGAATTTTTAATATTTATTTTTTAGTTCTCGGCGGACACAACATCTTTGTTGGTATGTGGTGCTGAGGATCGAACCCGGGCCGCACGCATGCCAGGCGAGCGCGCTACTGCTTGAGCCACATCCCCAGCCCCATGGAAAGAAGTTCTTGAGCTAGGCTTAGACATGGTACCTAAACTGTAAATGGAAAAGTGTTACATTTCATTTCTTTAGATGTCTTTACTTGATTTCTTAAATAATATAAAGGTTTTTCACCTTTGAGTATTTCCTGAGGTACACAGTGGACCTAAAGCAGAATGGGACATTTATACTTTTCACTCTAGGTTAAGATGGAAGTTTCACGTTTGAACTGTTTTGTCTCATAGAATGTAACACATTCTGGAAGGCACAAAGGACATAAGATGCATGTAAGTCGTCAGAACAGCTGGCTGGGAGACATTCTGGACTGGCAGGACATCGCCTCCTTTGTTCACGAGAACATTGAGACATTTCTTTCGGTAAGGAATAGTGTTTATAGTTATGGTGGACTTACAGATTAAAAACAGAACTCTAGTTCCAGGTTTTCTTTACACAGTAAGAAGCCTTCAGTTACTCCGTTTTTAATGCCATGACATTTATAGGCTAGAGAACTCTTTTTTTTTTTTTTAGTTGTAGATAGACACAACAACTTAATTTTGCTCATTTACTTTTTTATGTGGTGCTGAGGATTGAACCCAGCACCTCATACATGTGAGGCAAGCCCTCTGCCACTGAGGCACAACCCCATCCCAAGGCTGGAGAACTCTTCCTGTACTAGAAAGATATCCAAAAGCAGTTTTCTTCAGATGTTCATCCCCTGCCTTGCCCTGTTGAAACGCACTTATAAGATGCTGAATCCTGCAGCAAGTGAGTGAAGCCGTGGGCTCCCATGTTCTCAGGAATCCTTGTCACCCAGGCTGACCAGAATGTTCCCAGCTGGACATTAGAGAGATCTCTTTTTCTAGTGGGCGAAGCCCTTGATATACGGAAATATGACTCATTCATTACATTACAGAAATTGAATATGTGAGGACTTAGCTTGTTGTCTTCCCCCCGACTTTTCTGTCATGTACCATCCACTTCTGCAGCCTTATAGCATTGCTGAGTCTTAACGTCTACTCTGCATCATTCTGGAGTAGACTTTGTGGGGTGTCTTGGCATGTGGTTAGTCACAGAGATGAGAATGTTCCTGTGAATAGACTAGTGGATTCCAGTAAATTAACAAAAATTAAATTTTTAAAAATTGAAGCTTTATCTAAGTAATAATTATAAATTTTTAAAAATTGAAGCTTAATCTAAGTAATAATATAGTTGAAAAGTCAGTGCTTTAAGATTTTTATTAAAAAGAAGTAATGCCTTGTTCTTTGCTTCCCAGAGACAACTTCCAGAGTTACTTTCTGTTCCAGAAGCAGCTTTCCCTGGGTGTTTACCTCTGGATTTCTAAAATAATGCTTACACTGCCCTTTTTTGTTTTTGCTATTTTAGGTATTATCTTTTGGCTTCCAAATATGGAAGATGAAGGTAAAGATGTGACTTCTTCAAGTCCTTCAATGCCTTCTAATACCTCTCTTGTGATTTTTCTATGATTCTTCCTCTTGCTCCCTGTACCTGCAATCACAGAAATTGATTCCCTTCCTCTCACTCCTCCCTGATTGCTGTAACAGTTTAGAGTTAAGTCTATAAATCATGTCCTTCAGTTTTTATTTTATAGGGTTTTTTTTTTTTTTTTTTTTAAAGGGGCTCGTATTGCCCAGACTGGCCTCAAGCTCCTGGGCTCCAGCTATTCTCCTGCCTTAGTCTTCCTAGTAGCTGGGGCTACAGGTGTGACATACCTCACTAGGCGCTTATGTTTTTGATAATCCTTTCCCTATGTTTCCTCTAGTCCAGTGATTGTCAAACTTTTGATCTAAAGATTCCAAAGTGCATATTTATCCCTTTATTAAATAACAACATTATGTGTTAATATATAGAGTATGCTTTTAGTTTGTGAAAAATACTGTTTTCTAAAATGAAAAAAGAAGTACTGGGAAGAGTGGCTTTCTTTAAATTTTTCAGTCTGTTAAACATCTGCATTCTTAAGTCTACTCTGCTTCCAGTCTGTTGGGATTGTTTATTTGGTTGAAGTATAGGAAGATCATCCAGTCTCACACAGGTGTCTAGATAGAAAAGAGAGAAATCTTTTAATAGATTTTTATTGTGGCTATTCTTTGATACTACATCAAAACTCAATTAACTTTTAAAAGGTTAGTTGCAGGGTGAAATTTAAAATCGTATCCGTGATCTTTTTGTATTCTTGTGTATTAAAGTCTTTTGGTCCATCTTGGTTGGGAGTGTTTCAGCCTTGTGTGCTTTGGTAGTATACACTGATCATTTGGAATATCAGTTCACTGGTATCTGTACTATACACTGATCATTTGGAATATCAATTCACTGGTATCTGTACATCTTCAAAATATTGATACTTTGTAGTATTAAAAAATTATGTTCTTTAGTTATCAAGGCCTCAACACCTGATAAAAATTTCCAAAATTAACTTTTTTTCTCAAAAGCTCAAATTTTGTTGTTGACCACAAACACTGGGTGATTTTTTTTTAAGTGACACTTTATTCAGTTGTAAATGAACTTTATTCATTTTGAATTCACGTGGAAATGGTATTCAGTGAGAAGTTCAGCTAGTTCTGTTCCCAGGTCAGTCACACAAGTGCCCTTCCTCAGAGGACTGTTGAACTTAAGTCAGTGAGTGGCAGGAGTGTGTTTTGCTTACTTCCCCTTTCCTCACACAGAATGTAAAAAAAAAAAAAAAAAAAAGGTAAGTATTCAAAGATTGATACTAAATTGAATTAATGACTTTTCCTGCTGCATAGAGTATATGCTTAAGTGAAGCTGGTGCCAGCTGTGTGGCGGTGAATGCAATAAATTCTAGAACAGTCTTGTGCCCACTGCCTTGATTCCTGCCGTGTCCCCAGCAGCTCTGCCCATCATTGATTGTCTTTATACCACCAGTGGAGAGGCAAACGTGAAGTAAAGCACGGCATGATTATTATTAAGAAAATAGCTTTGGCTTCACATAACCTCAGAAGCACCTTGGGGGCGTGGGTTGTCCAGGAGCCATATTGTAAGCATCATTTACCGGCTTTCTAAAGTGCCTTTTAGTCAAGTGTCGGATTGCTTAATTTTATAAACATCTTTTGTTTCCCTTTTTAGTACTCCCGCCCACCACCCCTTCCCAAGTGGCTTCAACTTTACTCTTGAAATCTTGATTGAATTCCTATTTCTGCTATCATACTTGTAATTTCCAACAGCTCTTTCTTATATACCAAGCCTTCCTTTGTTATTTCTTTGAGAATATTACTAATAAAAGTTGCCCTCTGTTTGTTCTGAGTCTCACCTTTCACCTTTGAGGTGAAAGGCAACTTTTTCATGCCAGTGCATATCCAGGATAACTTATTGTCTAATAATAAATACATTTGAATGTTTGTTTCCCCCAAAATTCAGGTGTGTTAACAAGAAGTTATTGAATCCTTTTTTTGTCTTACTTTGAGCCTGTAATAGTTGAATTTTAAAGGATCTATTACTGACAGATGAAGTGCTGTTACTGAATCAAATTAAGATAGATGATACAAAAGAATTATTTAAATTTTATAAATTTTTATGGAAAGAAAACAAATGGGCAGTTTTTTGAAATTAAAACAATTTAGCCATGAAGTCCCTCTCCCCCCCTAAAAAAGGACACAATTCTTATGTCTAAACACATTTAAATATTGAGTAGGAGTTCAGGAAACAGATTATTTTGTGTTTTTTATATAAAATATTTTATGACAAATATTGTGCTAAGTTCTTTAAAATATTTTCTAAAATTTAATTTTCATAAAACTTCTGTAAATCCAAGATAATTGCTTTCATTTTGATAGGATAGTGGCATTAAAAATAACAGTAGATATTCAGATTCAGTTCTTCTTTCATTGGTTCCAGAGACCATACTTGCCATAATACTGCAATATCTTTCAAACCTATTTCATACTCTAGAAGACTCTGCTTTTCATAGTCTTATTCCTTTATGCTTTTATTTGCTTTCTGATCTTGTAATCCATAGGCAACTTAGAGCCAGTCGTGTTTGTGGACTCTTCCTAGTGATTTCAGAACACATTGAGGTTCCCCTACATTTTTTTTTTTTTATTTTGACCTCTGCATCCCTATAATGTTCTGTTTTAGTCTTTTTCTAAACTGCTTCTTTTGAGTCTTCATGAGTTCCATAGAAGGTGTGCTAAGGACTCTCAGTAAATAGCTGGGAAGTCATATTAATAACCAGAGGTTATGTGGTGAGCAGTGGACTCGGGGTGTAGGGATGCAGAACAGCTAGAGGACGGTGAGGCCTCCTTGGTCATTTCTTACCCACAGCATAGACCACCTTTCATGAATATGCTGCTTTATGGCTTAGGTATCTCCTGGGTTTTTTGTAAGTGTTTCAGGACCAACTACTCTGTTCTTGACATTTTTTGAGTTACGTTTGTATCCTTGACTAAATCAATAGTAAACCTGGCTCACGTTTTCTGCTTTTGACCTGAGATATATTTATTTACATAAATCTGTTTCATTTTCAGGTTCAGGGGCTTTGGTACTATTTCTGCCTTTACTAATTTCCTCTGTTTAAGACTGACATATAAACTAGAACTGCTTTTTTTTTTTTTTTAAAGAGAGAGAGACAGAGAGAATTTTTTTTTTAATATTTATTTTTTAGGTATCGGCGGACACAATTTGTTGGTATGTGGTGCTGAGGATCAAACTCGGGCCGCACGCATGCCAGGCGAGCGCGCTACCGCTTGAGCCACATCCCCAGCCCTAGAACTGCTTTTTACCTTAAGATTTATTTAAGTTTCTAGGAATGTCCTTTCTTGTTTTCTCCAGCTTATTTCCTTTTTTTTTTTTTTCAAATAAGGAAAGTTACTTGAATTACTTTAGTACCATTAATATTTTCAACTAATTTCTTAAAATTACCACAGGGTATTTTCCATAAGTGTGACCCAAAAACTATTTAAAAATTTTTTTTGGTTAAAAATTCCAGAATGACTGAGCCCCCAAAAGAGGCTTGTCAAAATCACAAAGGCCTTGTTGGTTTGTTTCTTGGAATCAGTGGCATTGTTCATTCATTCTTTATCCCACCAGGTCAAACAGTCAATCATGCATATTTTTGTAGGCATTGTGAAACACTCTCAAGATTTTATATAAGGAGTTTTTGTAAATGAAGCCAGCCTGCTGAAGTTCTCTTATGAAGATTGAGCTGAGATTTGCAAGAAATGCTGAGGGCAACAAAACATGCTTTTATAAATGATATATTTGCGGTAGGAAAGGAATGGATGGGCCTTTCATAGAACAGATGGTCTAACATGAATATATGACAAAAAACAGATCTGCTGTTTTCAGAAAGGGCACCAGAATAACAACCAGGCCCACTGAGTTCTTGCCCCAGCCCTGTTTTTCCTCCTTAGTTCTGTGCCCTTGGGCAAGTTTTTAAAAACCTGAGCTTCAGTTTTATAAGTCTATAAAACAAAGATGATATCATCTCCATTTCTTCCCTGATAGCACTGTTATGAGGTTTGTAGAAATATCTTGAAAAATGTTAATTAATGGAAGGTGTTTTCCTGACTACATATTTTGCTTCCATGTTTTTCATTACGAGGGAGGATAGTCTCCTTGGGAAGAATAGAGCAGACACTACCATAGTAATTGAAGTTCATGAAAAGCAAGGCATTAAAAGCATGGAGGTGGGCTGTAGACACTGTTCATTTCTTGGCATATTTAACATATAATAGCTATCATCTTGATATAATGTTTTAGTGAATTTGCAGGGAATACATGAACTTAAGTCAGTAAGTCTCAATATAATAATCATGGTCTATCTCAGGAAAGATTTTGCCCTTGACCCTAGTGATTTTAATGGCTGTTCCTGCGGTATATTTTATATTTGTAGTTGAATCTAAGATGGCAAGAATGGAATGAAGCCGATAATACAATAAGTGTTAGAACTTCATGGCCTGTACTTTTGATCCTACAAGATAAATATGTACATAGGATGTATTCTGACATATTCTCCTGTAGACATTTTTATGTGCATTCTATTTTTACATAGTTATAACCATACTATATATAAAATTTTTTGTATTCTGCTTTTAAAACTTAGTGTTATTATAATCATATTTTCCTATTATAATAGAAATGTTTCTAATAACTACTTGCTATTATTTGAAGTGGGTTCATCATAATCTTGTAACCATTTTCCTTATCATTGAACATGTAGATGTTTTAGATTGACACCCCCCCCCACCAGCCGCCCTCCCGCCCTCTTAAGAAGCTCATAGTTCTTGTCTTTCGATTATGGTAGTAAGACACTGTATTCAAAGCAAACTAGATGGCTGTAGAAGCTCCTTTCATGAGGATGAGTTTTGACATCCAACTTTCCCTCCTTGACAGATCTTGGAGTCCCTGTGGATAGTTATGAGCCGGAATGTGAGCCTGCTGTTTACCACTGTCACCACGCTCCTGACCATTCTTTTCTACAGTGGCACTGCCCTTCTCAATTTTGTACTCTCTCTGGTATGTCTGTCTAGATAAGTACTTGTCACATTCTCCACTGAAGCATTTTCTTGGTTCTGTTTGCATTTGTGGATGTCTGTAGTTTCCCAAATGTGATTTTTTAGGAGATACTATCCTTTTTTTTGCAGATAATTTTCCTGACCACACTATTTTATCTGTTAAGTTCCAGTGATGAGTACTACAAACCAGTGAAGTGGGTGATAAGCCTGACACCACTATCTCAGCCAGGCCCGTCTTCTAATATTATCGGCCAGTCTGTGGAAGAAGCTATCAGGTAAGGGGTAAGATTTATGCTTTTGTTCTCGTCACCAATTGCTTTCCATGAGAGCCTCTTGTCTGTCTTGAACTTCCTAGTAATATTCATCACTAAATCAGTGAAAGACTCTGGTATTCTCAAGATTTTCATCTCATTTTGAGAAGATGCTATAAGTAGTACATATGTTAATAACAAACAAACAAACAAAAAAAGCTAGAGTTTGTGATTTCCAAAGATGCCATGGCCTGCTGTCCATCAGCAGCTCATAGTCTAATTCTTGTTGTCATGCCACTTGCATGGGAGAACCCCCTTCTTCCACCACTTCACTTCCTCAGAACCTTCCTCTGTTCTCAGGAATTCTAGTTTAGATCTGGGAGGGCAGTAGATGGCCTTCATGTTTCTTTCTGTCTCCCACTGCAGCCAGGCTGTGCCCTCTGCAGGGACAGGTTGGATACTGGAAATGCAGTCTTTAGTTCAAGTCAGAAGCTCTGTGTGCATAGTAGATTCTGTCCAGAAAATTCCCTCATGCCTCTGAGGTCCTTGTATGGCAGGCTTGCTCTTCGAATGAGGTTCTTTTTCAACTTGTACACTCCATAGCTTTTTCAAAGCCACTGGCTTCTAGACCCCATTTCTTTCTTCTCTTCACCATGCCTGGTAGGGAGATGCTTTTTGCAGTATAGATCTCTCTCAACTCATCCCCCACTCACTTCCTCTTATTACTTATTAATATGACTATATTTTTTTACTCAAGTTAAACCCTAATATCATCCATTAGAACTCTTCTTTCTAGTAATTCTTCTTTCTAGTTACCAGTAACTCTAGTAAGTTAGTAGTCAGGTGGTCTTAAGCTTTGTTGAATAGTAAATCTTAGGCATTTCTGTTTTCCATATACATTTTAAAAATAGCAATATTTGGCTGGATGTGGTGGTACTATTCAGCTATTCCCAGCTATTCATGAGGATTGCAAGTTTTAGGCCAGCCTTGGCAACTTAGTGAGAACCTATCAAAAAAATAAAATAGAAAGGGCTGGGGATGTGGCTCTGTGGTGCTTGCTGCACTTGCCTAGCATTTGTATTTTTGAGGTCCTGGGTTTAATCTCCAGTACCATAAACAAAAACAAAAATATTGATGAATCAACCACAAAGTATTGTTTGGAATTAGCCATCACAGAAATCTTGATTTGACCTGATAATCCTGACTCACTAATCTTAGCTTACTTTTCACATGTAACAGGCAGGGAGAATATATTATTTCTGGAAACTTCCTCAGTTTCTAGGTTTTCTCTTTTAGTCCTGCTAACAAGGCATGGGTAAAATCTTCACCGATACTAGTGAGATTTTTTTAAAAAAAGCTCTTAGTACTCATATGGTGCCCTGGAGTATCTACATGGGGTCATCCATATAAAGATTCCAGATGTGGGAGTGTGTTATCCAACAGGAGCTATCAGAGTGATGCTGTCTTTAAGAATGTATTATTAGCTTTAGTATCCCACCTAAGTCTATGTGAGCCTGGGGCATCATCCTTACCTTTGGGTAAATAATGGAAATTGCAACAGTAGGGTTTTTGTTTGTTGTTTATCTCAGGTATTTTTCTAAATCAAAAAAAGCATATGCAAATACTCTACCAAATGGAGTATTTCTTTCTTTCCAAAAGGAAAAGGATGTTGACCCAGCCATATCAGAGACTGGCAGCAGTCCTCTTGTCCATGTGACTTAGCAAGCCATACAGAGGAACATGTACCTTGCCTATAAAGAGCTTTAGGAAAGATGGTACTTCATTTCCCTAAAGTAACCTTCTTTGGCACTGACTCTTCACAAAAGTTTTTTTCTGTTTTCAAATCACAATTCTTGAGTTTTCTCTTATTTTCTTAAAGTATACCACTTTCTAGCTGTCCTCTAAAATGTCTGTTATGGAGTCACTCTTTTTTTTTTTTTTTTCTTATTTTTATCTTTTGGACATCAAATATTGCTGCCTCCTTTCTTTGGAATTTAATTTTTTAAGTCTTGGCTGCTAATAGATCTGTGGTCATGGTAAGTACAGCTGTAATTTGCACCTATATCCAATTGATCAAAAGTGCGTATCCTGTTATTCCATGATACGTCTTCCAGAAGAAGCTGGTTGGGGTAGAAGATCATGAATTAAATTTGCAGTATTGTTTAGACCATTTATGTAGACACACGCAGCTGGCAGCTGTATTCGGGCCTTTAGCTCAGGGAGACTTTGAGATTAGGAAGAGTGCTGTAATCTTCAGATATATGAAGAAATGTGTTTTTTTACAAATTAGTTTGGCCTTTTCTTGCTGTACACTAATTATGCAGTATGCCAGTAGCCCATGAATGGTTCCAAAGTATATTAAGACAAAAACCATTTCATTTTTTATCATACCATTTTTAATACAGAATAAAAATTCAACAGTTTTCAGTACCCAACTGTTGGTACTCAAAACTGATTGATTTTTGTGAGTCTGATAAATCTGTATAGACTAGAAAAAGTGTTAAGACTTGAGCTGTCTTTTGGACCAAAGCTATATCAAGTTATGTAAAGATTGTAATTCAAGATGATTTTTTTGCAGTCTGTGTAAGTCTTACAATGGATTCCTCTCAAGAGCCTTTAGGATAACAGTGAGTTATTTCTAAGAACTCTTGATAGATTTTTTCATTCTGAAGGATTGTGTTCAAGTAGAAATATTTCTTCATTGTGAGAGATTTTTAAGAGGGAAAACATACAAATGATTATGAAAATATTGTTTTTAAAGTGCAGCTTGGTCTGTAAATTTTCAATAACAAGTTTCATAAGCAGCAGTCATTAATCATCATCAGTGTTGTAATTAAGTGGAAGTCATTAAACTTGTTTTATTTGATCCGTTAATGTGTTAAAAGTGGAATGAAACTGGAGGCTAACTGCATGACCAGACAGTGAAAGTATCTGTTCCTGAAGCTTTGCCTTCTGATTTATGTGTCTCCTGTATGATCACTGTGCCATTGAATTTTTGAACCTTAATTATTACTGAGTCAGTATTCTCCTAAATTGAACACTTTTGTGGTTAGGTTTTCATTTCATGGATTTTTGAGTTAGTGGCATGCATCCTTTATCCCTAGACCATTTTCCTCCCTTTAGCAGCATGTTGTCTCCTGAATGTACACATCACACCCTTCTTCCCCGATGCTCCCATTCTGCTTGCTCTGGTGGAGATATTGCACATTACTAAGTTGCATGTTGTCACGGCCTCAATGCAATTTAGTGTGTGTGATATTTTCACATGAGTGCATGCACACGGGTATGGCTCTTGCTTGCTGGTATTACAACTTTGAATGCTGGTGGGTGGAAGTCCTACTGGTGAATTAGATGGGAGAATGTGTGTACTGTAAGACTTTGAGTTGGAAAGTGAACATACTTCCACTTTGACACCCCAATTTTGGAGAATTTTTTAAATCAGCATTTCTGTTTTTTACTTTGAGCAAATTAAGCATTGGAAAGAAACTTTCATGCATTTAAGGGTATGAATAGCATTTGTTTAAATTGTATAAAGAAGAGTTTAAAGCTTTAAAAAAGTATTTTCATTTATTTGAGATCCCCTAACATTGAATTAAAGAGGGAGAATTGATTCTGCATATATGAGAAATTTAAATGAACTGGAGTTCTTAAAAAATAATCAAGAAAATAAATACCTGCCTTTTAACCTACTTGATTAAAGATTGGGTCTGAAATACCTGAACCTTTATCTTTTTTTTAATTTCCAATGAAAGTCACCTAAAAATCTTTGTCTTATGTGTAATTTCTCACTGTGATGGTTTAAAAATTGCTACATTTATTTTAATGGGCTTGTAATAGAACTAGTTTTGAGATATGAATGTTTACAATTTGTCTTGGTAATTGAAACAACCTGTTATATTTTTAGCATAGAGTAAGCTTCCATGATCTACAGGCACTGTTAAGGACACAAAACATGTATTAGTGGTATAAAAATAATTAATATTGCTACTGCCAGCATCTCCAGATGATTTACTGAATGACAGTGTTGTGTGCTTCTGCCTGTGACAGACTCAGAACTGTTTTTGTGGGAATGGAAGCTTTCTGTACAAATGGCTCTTTCCTGTACCCCTCAGCCAGTTTTCTGGGCCTGAGTGCACATCATGACCATTCCGCTTACACTGAGAATCCATTGTCAACCAGGTTTCAGTGCTTTGTACTGTGGAGCTGAGTCTCTGGGCCAAATGAGCCACGAATGGGAAAGAGGGATGTACTTTCTCAGGAGAGGTTAGGTGTAGAGACAAACCCTGGAGATAATGCAGGTTTAGTTTTAGATCATTGCAATAAAGTGAGTTATGTGAATTTTTTTTGGTTTTCCATTGCACATAAAAATTATATATACCCAATACTATAACCTATTAAGTGGGTAATAGCATTCTATCTGAAAACACTTTTGTAACTTAATTTAAAAATATCTTATTTTTGAAAAAGGCTAATAATTATCTGAACTGTTGGAAAAATGGGTTTCATAGACTTACTCAACATAGTTGACACAAATGTTCAATTTGTTAAAAAAAATTGCTTTACAATATCTGAAGTACAATGAAGCAAAGTATAATAAAGGGAGCAGGAGGGTACTTTTCCCAATTGGAGTTTTATATGCAGTGTCTCTGAGAGCTCACTGTTTTCCTTTGATAGCTCACCTCTTGCTTGAGGCACACTGTTGCAGTGCTGGGAGAATACTGGTAAGGCTGATACTGATAGCTGTTGGTTGTCCTGGGAAATAAGAATCTAGTAGTCTGTCTGCTTTAGGGTGGGACCAGTGTACAGAAATATTGTAGAGTAGACAGAATGTGATTTTTGGACTCTTTGCTTCCTTGCTGATTCTTCCTTAGACATGTGCTTCTTATGTGGCCACAATGTATGGCCCTGTGTACTTCCAAATGCACAGAGGTTCTTGACTGGTTGTAATTCTCCCAACCCCAGGACTTGCTTCAGAATCTTATTTCATGAAAAGCAGGTCTTCTGATCCAATTCTTAACCTTAGG